ATTATACGAAACGAGTGTCCTTCCTGTGGTATCTGAAAATATCAGCCTTTATAGGGTGTTGTATGTATGCCACATCCAACATATCATGTTTTACATAGCGCAACATGCAGCATACAGTGATTTATTACCCACGTGGTCAAGGTATGGGTAGTTGCATACTAATCTCGTACGTCACACGAGTGTCGTATCGCGTTGACCTGTGTCGTAACGACTTGACCTGAGATTCTAACGATTTGATTGGATAACCGATGACCTCTCAGTTAGGTCACGTTGTGACGGAACTACTTGTTCATTCATAACAAACACGTGAATTCATTCATTCTTCAACTTATATGCATTGTGGGAATGTAAATATTGCGAACGTTGCCGTGTCGCTGTTTAATTGTGAGTCGAACTGAGACATTATATCCGTCGAAAAAACATAAACGCAAAGTTTCCACCAGTGATGTTAGCCGAATGAAGCAACTGCAAACCAAGAAACGGGGTGCTACGGAGAAGTTTAATGTAGGAGGCTGTACGAGGCGATGACAACTGACATAGTTACGTCAGAATGTGACCTAATTGAGAGGTCATCGGTTATCCAATCAAATCGTTAGAATTTCAGGTCAAGTCGTTACGACACAGGTCAACTCGATACGACACTCGTGTGACGTACGAGATTAGTATGCAACTACCCATACGTTGACCACGTGGGTAATAAAGACACCAAAGGCAGGGGTTGAAGGGTTATTGATCAAAACTGTGCGACAAGAATAAGCTCCTAACACTGATCCGGTGCGAACCCCTCCAGCATCCAGACTGATATCAAAATTTATAGGTCTGCCGAAATGCCAACAGGCGAAGGCGACCTCCAAAGCACCTAACCGAAGAAGAAGAAGATCAAAGTTCATTAAAACGAACGTACACACACGATACGACACACGTGTGACGTACGAGATTAGTATGCAACTACCCATACGTTGACCACGTGGGTAATAAAGACAAATACGCTATTTTGTCAATTTAATGCATGTAAGACGTGGGTAATAAATAAAATACGATATTTCGGATATGACACTATATACAACTTATGTTGGATGTTGCGCAATATACAGCGTATGTTGGATGTTACCCCATATACAATATGCTATGTCTGATATGACGCTATATGCATAGAGAATACTACACTTGGTCTCATTACATACGAATTATACGAAACGAGTGTCCTTCTTATGGTATCTGACCACAGGAAGGCCACGAGTTTCGTATAATTCGTATGTAATGAGACCGAGTGTGGTAATTTATAGCATATCATACGACCTATTATGTTGTATATAGCACCATATCTGACATATCATATTGTATATAGTGCCACATCTGATCTTTCCTGCTGTATATTGCGTCACATCCAACATATCGTATTGTATATTGCGTCACATCCAACATATCGTATTGTATATTGCGGCACCTCCGACATATCATGCTGTATATAGCGCAGTACCAAGCATACAATGTTGTATATAGCGCCATATCAGACATATCGTATAGTATATGGAGTTACATCCGACATATGTTGTACATAGCGCCACATCCGAAATATCATGCTACATATAGCGTCATATCCAACATGTCATGCTGTATATAGCATCACATACGACATGTCATATTGTTTAAAGCACCACATCTGACATATCATGCTGCATATTGCATCACATCCCTTGTATCTCATTGTATATTGCATCACATCTGATCTATCATGTTGTATAATGCATACTCCTCTGACATAATTATGTTGCATATAGCGCCACACCCAACATACCATGTTGTACATAGAGCTACATCTAACATATCATGTTGTATATAGTGCAAAACCCGACATACCATGTTGTATATATAGTCACGTCCGACCTATCATGTTGTACATAGTTGTCTTATCTGACATATATTGTATATAGGTCTTATCTAACATATGTTGTATATAGCGCCACATCTGACATACCATGTTGTATATAGAGTCACGTCCGACCTATCGTGTTGTACATAGTTGTCTTATCTGACATGTTGTATATAGGCCTTATCTAACATATGTTGTATATAGGGCCACATCTAACATACCATGTTGTACATAGAGCTACATCTAACATATCACGTTGTATATAGTGCAACACCCGACATACCATGTTGTATATAGAGTCACGTCCGACCTATCGTGTTGTATATAGTTGTCTTATCTGACATGTTGTATATAGGTCTTATCTAACATATGTTGTATATAGCGCCACATCTGACATACCATGTTGTATATAGAGTCACGTCCGACCTATCATGTTGTATATAGTTGTCTTATCTGACATGTTGTATATAGGTCTTATCTAACATATGTTGTATATAGCGCCACATCTAACATACCATGTTGTATATAGAGTCACGTCCGACCTATCATGTTGTATATAGTTGTCTTATCTGACATGTTGTATATAGGTCTTATCTTACATGTTGTATATAGTTGCACATCTAACATACCATGTTGTATATAGAGTCACGTCCGACCTATCATGTTGTATATAGTTGTCTTATCTGACATGTTGTACATAGGTCTTATCTAACATATGTTGTATATAGCGCCACATCTGACATACCATGTTGTATATAGAGTCACGTCCAACCTATCATGTTGTACATAGTTGTCTTATCTGACATGTTGTATATAGGTCTTATCTAACATGTGTTGTATATAGCGCCACATCTAACATACCATGTTGTATATAGAGTCACGTCCGACCTTTCATGTTGTATACAGTTGCCTTATCTGACATGTTGTACATAGGTCTTATCTAACATATGTTGTATATAGCGCCACATCTAACATACCATGTTGTATATAGAGTCACGTCCGACCTTTCATGTTGTATATAGTTGTCTTATCTGACATGTTGTATATAGGTCTTATCTAACATGTGTTGTATATAGTGCCACATCTAACATATCATGTTGTATATAGTGCCAGATCTGACATATCGTGTTGTATATAGTGCCACATCTGACATATCATGCTGTCTTATGTCACATCCAATGTGTATTGTATATTGCGCCACATCCGACTTATTGTGTTGTATGTTGCGTCAATCCCCGTCATATATCCACCCTATAATATATGTTCCCAATGTTACATCAGTGCACCTACAAATATGTTAACTAATTAATCAATACATAGCTAAAACAAAGATATTTTTCAAAAGGGGAAACCGATCAAGATTTTACAAAAGCGGTTGCTGCATACACAGGTCAGGTTTGAATACTGGGAATAATGGATGCCATTTATTTGCAAATTTCTTCATTTCATTCTTCCTTTTGGCAATGAAGCTTTCAACAGAAAAAAATATCTTCTAAAGTCTTTATAAAGTTCTTGCATTTTGGAATGTTGTTTGTCAAAGAAGAGACATAAATATGTCTTTTTGCTGAAATGATTACATGATTAAGTAATGGGTTTTACTTAAGGAACCAAAATACACCAAAAATCTTTGTCAAATTAACTTTTTTTATCAAATGGGAGTTAATCCAAATTTGAAGATCATTCCAAAACTTCTTAGTTTCACAACATTCCCAGTAAACATGGCACAAGTTTTCATAGGATCTTGCAATAAGTTGTCTGTTTTCCTGAACCCGCATGTTCACAATGGGTTTTTGTCATCTCTGCAAGTATCAGTCAGCACAAACCATGCTGCATATAGGTCCATGTATTACCGGGTCATCGCCCCGAAGACCAAGTCACCACTCGGCTTGACTGGCAGTGAGTGAGTGAGTTGAGTTTTACGCTGCACTCAGCAATATTCCAGCTATATGACGGCGATCTTAAATAATCGAGTCTGGACCAGACAATCCAGTGATCAACAGCATGAGCATCGATCTGCGCAATTGGGAACCGATGACATGTGTCAATCAAGTCAGCGAGCCTGACCACCCGATCCCGTTAGTCACCTCTTACGACAAGCATGGGTTACTGAAGGCCAATATTCTAACCCGGATCTTCACGGGTCTGCTGGACTAGGAAAACCTCGTGATGTGAGAACTCTCCAGGACACCTGTGATGCATCCCTTTCTCTGCACTCCTCCCTCGTAACAAATAGTGAACTGTGTCGATATTTTAATGATAGTTTGTTAAACAACTTTTTATTTTTAGGACATAAATTCTGCAAACACCTCTCAGAGTTGGTCTGACGTGTTCATTATGATCAGTGTTTCATTGAGTATTTTATGTTTATAAGTTTTCAAGTTAGATTGAAATTCATCGGTCCGTTTTTGAGCCAAACGGACTATAGCTGGGGAACTGTTCTACCTAGGAATACTCATGGCTCTAAAATGATCCATGAACAGATTGGATTTAGTGACTGTTCATAATTTATGGCTTGGGGGTGATGATGATTTAACATAATATAGCTTTTACCTGCATTCAGGCACACATATACATACTTTATTACCCTTTAGATAAATTGGAAGACTTTAGATGGTTAGTAGCCAATGCATATGGAACCGTACTCTAAAGTTTGACGAGTAGTACGAATCCATCTTGATAGTTTGAGATCTTTGACTATGAAATCACAAGGAGAGTTCAACTATTATTATCACAAAGAAATCTCTTCATCAAATTGTTTTGAGAATATGCTATTTTTTATCTATGAAGTGGAAACAGACTGTCCTGAATAATGGTATTATTTTAAATAACAAGCTACTTAAAACAATAGCTTTAAGTCCACGAGAGTTATGCCCCTCTGAATATCAGTCTCTAATGTTCCACTGTCACAACAATTGTGGCAAAATGATTTACGTCCCACACCACGTCATAAATAAAAGAGAAATAAAGAGAAATTGAAGAGGAACAGATGAAAATGGTTCCAGAAAACACTAATATATGGTTGGCATCTAAAATATCTGAAGAGGTCGAAGTAAATACAGATTAAAGCGGGCAGTACCATGCCATACTACCTGGCAAAGAGCTGTGTAACAAACAATATCACACAAAATATTATAAATTTGCCATTTTTCCCATAATATGTTTAGAGATTCATTTGTTTTTTTTCTGATCCAACTCCAAAGAATAAAACATTAAATGTTCGATTTCAGATCCAAATCTCATTTCTCTATATGCCGCAGTCTGTACAACCTAAGCCACAGTCTGTTAACATAAGGCAAGAGTCTGTACATATATAACAAACAACTGTACACAACATCTCTATGAAGAGTTTGACGGCTTGGTCTTTATCTGCAGTCCATGCATTTCCTTTATTTCTTCTGACAGAGCCTGGAACAAAACAAAATAAAGAATATTTGTGAAAACATTATGGGAGAGTTTTCATGTGTTACTGTTAGATCATGTGTTAGATCATGTCCAATGGTACAAGAATCTGTATCGAAATGTCGCACTTTCGTAACAAAGAAGTTCTTATCCATAAAGTTTGTCAATTTTGTACTTCCCAGCTTCTAAAACGCCACTCAAAGAAGTTACATGTTAGGCCTTAAACATATTTCCAGTTCATTTTCGAGACCACTTATGAATAAACCCAGAAGGATTTCACAAATAACTTTCAACAATTTAATGTTGCCTGACTGTTTTCAATTTGCAATGATAATGTTGCTTTGGTTTGTTGTTTGACGCTGCATTCAGCAATATTCCAGCTATATGGCGGCGGTCTGTATTAGTGGAGGTCCGATTAATTGAAATAATCGAAGATTGGTCGCAGTGACTAAACGACCAAGCAATCGAACATGTTTTCTCATAATCGAACGCAACCAATCTTGGAACACTTGTTTGCATCAACAATATTTTTCACAAGGTTGCTTTTGTCTGTGTCATTAAATTTACGTTTCATAAGCACAAGCTCGTACCAAGTCATGATTGAATTTATCTTAAAGAACCAGGAAATCTGTGTTCCTAACATACTAATAATCCTTTAAATATGCAAAATTTGCAAATGGATTTTGTTTAATTTGCAAAAAAACCCCACAAATTACTACATGTTTTTCTTTATTTTTTACAAAGACAACAGGAACATTTGATAAATGATGCTAACCAATTATTTTCGATGATTGATCGGTTGTAACGGACCAATCATCAATTATGAGATTTTAACCAATTCCCAACAGTAGTCTGTATACAATCCAATCTGGACCAGACAATACAGTGATCAACAGCATGAGCATCGTTCTACACAAATGGGATACAATGACGTGTAAATCAAGTCAGAGAGCCTGACCACCCAATCCCATTAGGCACCTCTTATGACAAACATGGGTTACTGAAGACCAATTCTAACCCGATATATATTTTTGATAGTAACAAACAAACCCATTTAAATTGAAAAGGAGCCCCAGTGAGATGGGAGATTCAGAACCTGAGGAAATCTAGACTTGCTTCATTTAGGGCTTTGGCATTGCAGGGTGGGCTAGGCAGTAGGGAAAACAATGTGGTTTAGGGCTGTGAGACAGACTAATTCTCATGATATAGTCAGAGTTGTACTATCATACAAGTATGTCACGACCAGGAAATGATAGAATGTCACTTTACAAAGCGCCTTTGAGCAACTGAGCTGGATATTGGCGCTATACAAATGTGTGTGTGTGTGTGTGCGTGCGTGCGTGCGCGTGCGCGCGTGCGCGCGTGCGTGCATTATTATTATAGGATATTTATATAGCACACATATCCACGTACGTAACTAGTACATGTTCAAGGCGCTGGTATTTTCCCTCGATCATTGGATGTCACTCTCAACGGCACATCGTAATATCAATCTCAACTCCCTGGGGATCATACAACTCTTGCAGCCACTAGGTGCACCGAGTTATTGCGGCTTTCTCATCCTTTTGAGGTACCCATTCACAGCTGGGTGGACTGGGACACATAGTCACAGTACTTTGTTCAAGTTTACTGCACATTGCTGTACCCGCAACTAGGTGTTTGCACATATACATGTGGCCACCATCTGGTCATATACCAACGGATTCGTGGGTTCTTTTAAGTGCACAGGGTTGTGTACTGTACACTAGGGGATGTTACAACACTGAAAGAGTCTGCACACAAAGCTGACTCCAAGTTTTTAGACACGGTCACAGGTGGACTCGATCCCGATATCTCAAGCTTGCTGAATCACCAGCCTGGCGCTTTAGCCAGCTTGCCTACCGTGCCCATGCATGCATGTACTGACAATTTGCAGACTTACCTTGTACACCATCCTCTGTTGTTGCAGTGTGGACTTTCCTGTGAACTCACTGGCTTCTATCGATATCTGATACATAGCTCCACACCCACCTGTTGAGGACAAAACTTAAAACTGTATCTGACCACATAGCTATTTCAAAATGCAGAATCCATTAGCTTGGTTTGTTTGTTGTTTAATGCTGCACTCAGTGCACACTGGACCAGACAATCTAGTGATCAACAGCATGAGCATCGATCTACGCAATTGAGATATGATGACGTGTCAACCAAATCAGTGAGCCAGACCACCTGATCCCATTAGTCCTCTCTTACGACAAACATGGGTTGTTGAAGACCAAATCTAATCCAGAGCTTCACTGGTAGAATCTCATTCTCTTCCCACAGAGGTTACTTGTCATTTCTTCCTACCAACCTCTGTTCTAATACGGTCATATTTCCCGGTTCTCATAAAATCCCCTAGCAGCATAAAATCGCAACACGAATTATCTCCCTTCTTTCTGTCCGATCAGAACACGTGTTACATCAACTTGACTAATACAAGCAAATGTTGGGTCACAAATATCCCTCCTCTGCCAGGAACGTGTGTTGATGTGACACACAAGACATTTAATGGCTAGCTTGTCCGTTGTCAACGAGGGCGATGGAGACGCCATTGATCCGCCATTTACATGACTGAGTTTTGTCTATAAGAAACGTTTGCGCATCGCACAGGGAAAGAGGTTCTAGTTTTCCTGAACCATACGGAAATAACCGAGGCCTTGCGAATGATCACTTTTGAAACAACGTCGCTGATTGCACAACTAAATCTGATTGCAACCAATCACGAATCCTGAACACTCGCACCATGAAAGGGCCATATTAGAACAGAGGTTCGTAGGAAGAAATGACAAGTAACCTCTGTGGGAAGAGAATGGTAGAATCTATGAGCATACATCAAGGCTTGAGTTAGTTATACACCACATGCACCAATTCAACCTATTATGAATAAATGCAAGGCTATGTAAAAATGAATTCAAATTTATATTCAACTCTCACTTGTTCACAGACAAGCTCAACCTCAGAACACGCTCAATGCTTCTTAAGTGTATTTCCAAATTACATCATTAATACCTGTGCTACGAGTAATTTGTCATAATTTCCAGTGTTTGAGTCATCCAACTGTGGGAACCCCAACATTATGTGTATGTTCCCATTATGTTCTGTAGCAGTGTGGCATTAATTTATGTGACACTGGGAGAAGAATATCTTTCAATTTCAGTTAGGACTGCATGGTATTACTGGTATACAGGTATCACGATACGTATTGCTAAGATTTTTTCTCAGAACTGGTATATTGGGCAATAAAGTATGTATGAAGTTTTGTGATTATCTATATGGTTAAAGTTAAAATTTACAGACTTTCATTCACACTGAAGTTTTCCATTGTAATTAATTGACAACACAGCATAATTTACATACAATACATTTTATATAAAAAAGAAAGTTACAATCCCTAAAAATCAAATCTGAATTCGAAATTTCTGTTATCAAAACCATTAAGTATATTTTATGGCTTTAGTGTGTGGAAAATAGGCTCTGCATGTACAAACGATGTCACTCACTGTCAAACACTTAGGCTCCCAATTTATGTCGCAATATATATCAAAACACAGGTACCAGAATCGTAATATATAGCAATATAATTTATTTGCCAATACACAGGTCAGCCCTAATTTCAATGCATTTACAGGACCAGGCTGCAACCTGGTTTAGATTTGTGCCACCTGTTGTAATTATTTCAACGATCTGAGAAAAGAAACTACTACCAACACTGTACATCAAGAGACTATCTGTATTAAAATGATATATTTATTTCAAAGTAAATATGTCTCAGATTTGATTAAATTGTTAACCTTTAGTCACTGTATAATAAGCAATATTAAATAGACTTCATGTCGCCATTACTTTATGTAGTGACCTCTGTAAACCCTCGAGCTCATCATGCTATGTATGTAGCCTTGAGAGAAATATAGTTCAATTCAGTTGTCAAATCAAAATGGACTTGCTGCAATATAAGTCAAGTTCCTTAAATTGAGTCATGCAAATTGGTTAAGTGTACTTTTTAAAGATTTGGATTTCAGTTGAAAATGTTGGTGAAAAGATTAAACAGTGTTTTAACTAACTTACAGTTACACACCTTAAAAATGCAAGAAATACCAGAAAAAATGAATAAAAACAATTTATAACAACAACTGGGATACCTTATTGTGAAACAATATCATAATCATGCGCTGAAACCAGAGACCATATACATATCGGTATATGGTCTCTGGCTGAAACATACTTGACGACGGCTGACTGAAGCAAGTCACCTGTAAGACTGAACATCACCTGTCCCCATGGCTCAGTTAGAAAATAAATACTAATCATATGTCAGGGTACATTCAAAACCAATAACAAACTTTGGTAACATAATCATCATTAGATGCATATCAAACATGCTGTTTATACAATTTAACTGCAGAACTTTGTCTTACAATCAGAATGTACAAACCCTGTGCAGGTTTTACAAATATAAAACCTGTCATTATGTCTCACTTAAAGATAGTATGTCTCTTAAGCTAAGATAGCAAGACACCTACAATACAATAGGCAAAACATTTCTGAAAAGTCACAAAAAATAAACAAATGTACAGGTTTACACAGAAAGCCACAAGGTAACAAACTGTTCAGTCAAGAACTTTAAGCCATTAGCATTTTATATTAGCTTTATGGAATGCATCTTCATACTGTTAGCAATTCAAGAAATTCAATAGTGAGTGAATGAGTTAAGTTTTACGCTGCAATATTCCAGCAATATCACATTGGAGGACACCAGAAATTGGCTAAAGCCTAAAATAAATACTTTGACAAACTAAAATATCATTGAGTGCAATATTTGTGTATAGCAATAAAAAAATAACACAACATGGGTGGAAATAACCCATTGCCCGACGGCCCAGTCCAGTGTTTTTTTCTGTCGGGCAAGCAAATTTGTATATCACGCTGTACCGGTGTCCAGTTGACTTTCCAATGTTAATTATGTTGTTTATTTAAAAAATCAACAACAGAAATTGGCCGGTGTAGTGGAAAAATTGTCAGGGAAGTGATAGCAATTTTAAAGTTATTTCCACCCCTGCACAACTATCTGATACCACGGACACATGTACACAAACTGAGTGAATAACAAAATGGAGTGAGTTTTAGTGATATAATGCAGCATTGATCATGTTGATTGAACACAACTCCACCAATACTGGCTCAATTATTGTTATTGTTTGAAGCCATCCGTGAAGATCCGGGTTAGAATTGGTCTTCAGCAACCCATGCTTGTCTTAAGATCGGGTAGTCAGGCTCACTGACTTGGTTGACACATGTCATTGTATCCCAATTGCATAGAATGATGCTCATGCTGTTCATCACTGGATTGTCTGGTCCAGGTTCAATTACTTGCAGACTCCCGCAATATAGTTGGAATATTGCTGAGTGCAACGTTAAACAACAATCAATAAATTTAATAAATTTTAGGCAATGAAATTTGCATAGTTACAATGTAACCATTTTGACAAGACTAACCTACCTGATATATCGGCAACCTGTACTGAGGTCGACCCAGGGAACTTAACCCTGAGAGCATCTATGAGATTTTTCTCTCCTCGTGTCAGCTCGGGTGGAGCCTCAGTATTCAGACAACATCGGGGATGACTTGATACCGCAAATCTCCATATCTATGAAAAACAAATTGTGAGAGATCATGAAAGAAGAAATGTCTGGTAAAGTAATTCAGAGGCACTGTTATTTCATTGTATTATTGTTTACTGTATGTGAGAGAGTTTAGGCTTATGTTGTTTTGAACAGTATTTCAGTTGCAATAATGGCATGACAACTTCATGTAGGAGGAGGTGAGGTTAGGTGAAATTGGGTTAACATCGAGCTTGAGAATATTTCGCTCATATGACGACGTGCACGTGTGTGTATGTGTATGTGCGTCTGCTTGTACTAGCCCAGACTTAAGCTGGTTTTATAGTGCTAGCCCACTGAGATACCATGCCGCTGTGAAGCATGAATACCCAACTCAGACGCATTATATTGACTCCGAGCCGACCAGTCCTTGTAACCATTAATGCCGAGCGCCAGGCAGGGACCAACAAGTACCATATTTTAACGTCTTTTGGTATGACGCGGTCGGGGATCGAACCAGCGACCTTCCGCTCTCCGAGCGGACCAGCTCTAACCACTACACCATGGAGGCGGTCCTCATGTAGGAGTGAGTGAGTGAGTTTAGTTTTACGCCGCACTCCGCAATATCCCAGCTATATGACGGCAGTCTGTAAATAATCGAGTCTGGACCAGACAATCCAGTGATCAACAGCATGAGCATCGATCTCCGCAATTGGGAACCGATGACATGTGTCAACCAAGTCAGCGAAACTGACCACCCGATCCCATTAGTCGCTTCTTACGACAAGCATAGTCGCCTTTTATGGCAAGCACATGGGTTGCTGAAGACCTATTCTACCCCGGATCTTCACGGGTCCCTCATGTAGGAGGATGTATTGCATGTATTAGTTATTTACCAAAACTCTCACACACTGGGAATGGTGCTGTCAAACCTAAAAACATAAACAAATAACTCAGGGATTCGAACTATAGGCGCCTTATTTCTATTCCACCCACAACCTGACCTCTGTGCCACCTATTTCCCTCACCAAATGAGACTATTTATCAAATGTATGATTTTAAGTGGAAACACTTATTTTACTTACACTGGTGTATATTACAGATCCAATATACGGTATATAAAGGTATAAAGTTGTCTTTCTCTTAGGGGTTGAATTGGAAATGGTGAGATAGATTCTGGTCTTACTGAACCGACAAATGTGATCTCTGAAGGCCTTACAGCATATTTAGTTCCATACATGTATGCTCTAAGTGTCTGTCTCACAGCTCACTAACACTGTTTATGGAAACTGTTCCAAATAATGACCCTAACCTTCAACTTAGCTCGACCTCGGATCTCGTGGTAAAACCGCCGACAATTGTTGAATAATTATTTTAAAATACTGGATAATAACACAGTGGCAGTTACATGACTAAGCAGTTGAGTCAACGTACCACTGGCCTTTTTGTTAGGAAGCTCCGTATCATCTTGTCCTGTGTCGTTACAAAGGTCAGCACTATCTCTCTCTTTTGCAGGTTAACTTTATATTATGCGTCCTTTACCTTAATCACAGGGACCAGTCAATACCAAACGTAACCAAATTTTGATAATGTTCAAAAGCGTTTGATTGCTAATAAAGTATCAGAAAAGTGAAAAACAAACTAATTCATATGTGGTGAATTATTTTTGACAGCCCATATGGGACATGAGTGCGTTTTTATTGCAACTAAGCAATCTCTGTGAGTATTGTAAATGGAATCTCCCCCGTGTATTCATCCGGGCTATTTCAAAATGTCTGCGCTCATGGATAAGTGTTGGAGACCGGTGATAAGGGCAGTGTACCAAAACGTACGGTTAAAAATTGCAGTTGTTCGACTGTTGCGAAGGAAAGTGATTGGATTCGGGAGGGTTTTAAATAACCATAGACATGTGATGAATATATCAAATTCTTGACGGCTGTCATTGCATAACCGATTCAGTACCGTCACCTGATTTCGTGGTATTAGCGATTCAACGATATCGCACCGAAATTATCATGCACCTGTAATAGCACTTGTTCAATCTCCGGATCAGCAGTGACTCTCACCATGCATTGTACCGGGAGCAGCTTATGCGGCTCTCGGCTAGCTGTAGGTTGTGCCTCTGCGATTTGGCAATTGGGCTGTGGAATGTTACGCCAAACTCGACCTTTGTACTCTACCCCTATCAAGCACCCTTTACGGCCCTCACGATTAGAAACCACCACAGAAGGTTAGCTATATCTTGTGATGAACAATCTACAAAGTTTAAAAAGTTTTGAGCCTATTAAAGAAGAGGGCAAAGTGGTCTTGTTTTTAAAAGTTTGCAAATTAGATGAACTCCCTTCTTAGTCTGTCACTGTGTCAGATGAAGCTGGTAAATTGAGATTCGTCATCCACATGACACTAACAGAACTGAGCTGACTATTCCCACTGAAATGCTAAAACACATGCTTGACATTCACACTTTGTGATTAAATTTAGAATGGGTTATAATTTGGACTGACAGCTAAGCTTTCAGCTCGTGATCAAAACAAATCAATATAGATATGCCCAATTTTATGTTTCTACTTTCCTAATTTTACTTAGATCTTTAACTGTCATTTCAATATGAATAGCACAGTCCGCAGATCTTTAGTGTTTTAGCTCAATGACATTACTGGCTGTGGTGAACGTTTGTTTGGATCAAATGTTACTTTGTAATTTTTCTTTGCCACATCCATCATTAGAGATATGTGTGCAATTCCAGAATGAAGAGACTCGTGAAGATCCGGGGTAGAATAGGTCTTCAGCAACACATGCTTGCCACAAAAGGCGACTATGCTTGTCGTAAGAGGCGACTAACGGGATCGGGTGGTCAGACTTGCTGACTTGGTTGACACATGTCATTGGTTCCCAATTGCGCAGATCGATGCTCATGGGGTTGATCACTGGATTGTCTGGTCCAGACTGGATTATTTACAGACCGCCGCCATATAGCTGGAATATTGCTGAGTGTGGCGTAAAACTAAACTGACTGACTCACTCACTCCAGAATGAAGAAAGAAATGCCATGTTCTGAATGCCTGTTTGATTTCTACTGAGAATAGGATTTGCAGAGTAGCAGGGTTTGGTTTATGAACATGATCTTGTTTTATTCAAGACGTCATACATACTATATTGTCAAACATATTTATCCACAATTAAGCTTTTTGTCAGTCCTTCAGGTAAAGTACAGAACATTTTCTTACTTTTCTAGGGTAAATGCAGGCATGTTCGCCACAGCAGTTACAAGCCCTTGGAACATGCAAAACACTTCCCGCCTGTCTCCACTCCTATGTTGCCTCCAGGTACATTTGAAGGCAAGACTGCATTCATCACAGGTGGAGGAACCGGTCTGGGAAAGGGCATGGCATTGTGTTTGTCTCAACTTGGCGCCAGAGTGGCCATTTCAGGCAGGTGAGTTGCTGAAACTACTAACTCAATTTACAACCAAGGAACAATATTTTTATGCAGATAAATGATAAATTCTTGTATTTTTGAAAGCACAAAGCTGATATTTTTGGTCAGTTGCCAACACCTCTAACTCAGTTTACAACCACGGGACACTACAGTCGAGCACTGTGTGTCAAACTCTGATAACTCAATATCTCGGTTGTCTCGATATAACATCTCGGTCCCGGCTAAATCCTTCATAATGTATCATTATTCAAGCTCTTTTAACTCAATAAGGATGTCTCAATATTTCGGATATCTCGATATAATTTCATGGTCCCAACAAGCAAAATTACCCTTTTAACTCAATATTTACAAACAAACTCGATATTCACTTACCTTTCATGGGCAAGTAAATCCCTCTGAACTGAGGTTGTTTCCACACGTTAACACATGGTGCAGAATTAATAAAAGGGATGCGGTAGTGAAAACTAATTAGGGCTATTTGAGTTGAAGGTTAGACTAACGTTTAGTCCCTGAATACATATAATTTTGATAGTAGCAAATAAACCCATTTACATTGAAAAGGAGCCCCAGTGAGACCAGAGATTCAGAACCTGAGGAAATCTAGACTTGCTTCATTTAGGGCTTTAGCATTGCAGAGAGGTCTAAGCATTATAAATAAAATATTATGGTTCAGGGACTGTGAGACAGACTAGTTGAATGTGTCAGTGTTTGTTATTTAATTAGGATTAATTCAGAAGGAATTAATGAGGAAGTACTCACTGTTACGACTAAACACTACTGATAACGGATTATAGTTTTGAATCAAAGCATGCTGGTAACTTTTGTTTTGTTTTCTTTCATAGTGATATGTGATGATATGCCCTCGTCAGATGTCTCGAAGTTTGGATAACACGATATATTTTTTCTTGTCCCATGAATATGGAGACTACGGTGCTCGACTGTATTTTGTGCTGATGATATATCTATTGTTGTGTTTTAGAAAGCACAAAGCTTATTTTCTTGGCCATATTCTGTATGTATTTCTACTCTCTTCTTTAAGGAGCAGGGGTAGCCCAGTTGTTAAAGCATTCACTCGTCATGTCGAAGACCCAGGTTTGATTCCCCACATGGGTACAATGTGTGAAGCCCATTTCTGGTGTTCCCCGCCGTTGCTGGAATAGTGCTAAAAGCGTCGTAAAACCATACTCACACTCTGGTTGTCTCATTTTCTGACTGACCCATAATATTGGCCTTAAGTAACCCATGCTTGTCGTAAGAGGCGACTAACGGGATAGGGTGGTCAGGCTCGCTGACTTGGTTGACACATGTCATCTGTTCCCAGATCGTTGCTTGTGCTGTTGATCACTGGATTGTCTGGTTCAGACTCGATTATTTACAGACCGCCGCCATATAGCTGGAATATTGCTGAGTGCGGCCTAAAACTAAACTCACTCACTCATTTTCTGACTGCTTGTGTTCCGACTATGAGTGGAATGTGCTGTTCGGAGGAAATATATCGAGAGTTTGATTTGGAACTTTGCTGTTTTATGTTGGACACTACTCATCATTGTGCTTGTGATGTCAGCACAGAAATTTGTCTCATTTTGTACCTATTGTGTTATTGTTTATATGTAGTGCTTGTTCATAATAATTTATATTTCTAGTGTCCCCATGGTGATATTGCTGGAATATTGCTGGAATATTGCAGCATAAAACAAGACTCACTCACACTTAATACTTTAACATGTTTTGTGGTAATGGATTTCCAGAAAAATGGAGCCACTGCAACAAACAGCAACAGAAATAACTGGCATAACTGGAAATAAGGTAACTAATTGAGGAATAATTGTTATGTAAATGCATGATAAATGCAAACAATATTTTCACTAAGGATGTCCCTGATCTGTATTCAGTGTAATGTTTTGTATGATATTTGGAAAATCTTGTGATTTAGTCCAACTTTCCAACTGAATAAGGAATGAGGTTAGTAAGCAGTCTATTGCACTAGATGAACTTTTATAACATATGATGCAAACTACATGCTTTAATATGGAGGTAAATATGTAAATCACTAACAGTTTTTCTCAATGTAAAACTATTAGAATTTGACTTTTTGAAATGTTTTGACCACATATGGATAAAATGTTCATCTTATTTTTATAGGTTAGTAAGTAAATAGATAAATAATTTTGCTTTTAAGTAAAACCCTTAGTTCCAATATAAATCTCTGACAATGTTACAGTCAGTGATGTTATAGTTTAAAGGAAGATTCAACGATACCCGTTTTCAGTTTAACTGATGTCAAATTCAAACTTTGGTAAAAAAATTGATGAGCACACTGATTGTTTCTAATTTAACACTCTATTGTTGACTATTTGATGTTTAATCTATGTTTTGTTGTTTGTGCCTTTATTTTCTCAGTAGATTTACTGATGTGTTAAAACAGGACTGTTGTCACTTGACACATATTTTTATACAGCAAATGTATAATCATACCAGCCGACTTCTTAAAAATAATACCTGTGAAGATCCGGGATAGAACTGGTCTTCATTAACTCATGCTTGTTGTAAGAGGCGCCTAACGGGATCCGGTGGTCTGGCTTGCTGACTTGATTGAAACATGTCATCATATCCCAATTGCGTAGATAGATGCTCATGCTGTTGATCACTGGATTGTCTGGTCCAGACTCAATTATTTACAGACGCCGGTTGTCAGGCCTGATGACTTGGTTGATACAAGTCATCGTATCCCAATTGTGTAGATCGATGCTCATGCTGTTGATCACTGGATTGTCTGGTCCAGACTCAATTATTTACAGACTGCCGGTTGTCAGGCCGGATGACATGGTTGATGCAAGTCATCGTATCCCAATTGTGTAGATCGATGCTCATGCTGTTGATCACTGGATTGTCTGGTCCAGACTCAATTATTTACAGACTGCCGGTTGTCAGGCCTGATGACTTGGTTGATGCAAGTCATCAGTATCCCAATTGTGTAGATCGATGCTCATGCTGTTGATCACTGGATTGTCTGGTCCAGACTCAATTATTTACAGACTGCCGGTTGTCAGGCCTGATGACTTGGTTGATGCAAGTCATCGCATCCCAATTGTGTAGATCGATGCTCATGCTGTTGATCACTGGATTGTCTGGTCCAGACTCAATTATTTACAGACTGCCGGTTGTCAGGCCTGATGACTTGGTTGATGCAAGTCATCGCATCCCAATTGTGTAGATCGATGCTCATGCTGTTGATCACTGGATTGTCTGGTCCAGACTCAATTATTTACAGACTGCTGGTTTGTCAGGCCTGATGACTTGGTTGATGCATGTCGTTGTGTCTCATTTGCATAGATCAATGGTCTTGATCTCTTCTGGTGCAAATTTGATTATTTGCTTAGTGCCATCATATAGCTGGAATATTTCTCATTGTGTCAACAAACAAAATTCTTAATGTTAGTTAAGTGGACTAACGGATCGGGTGGTCCAGGCTCTCTGACTTGGTTGACACATGTCATCGGTTCCCCACTTCGCGCAGATCGATGCTCATGCTGTTGATCACTGGATTGTCTGGTCCATACTCGATTATTTACAGACCGCCATATAGCTGGAATATTGCTGAGCGCGCGCAAAACTAAACTCACACACTCACTCACTCACTCACTTAATGTTAGTGAAGTGAACTATAGCAGTAATATCAACAACGTTATCTATCAACGTTGCTAAAAGTGAAGATTTTGGTTCAAGGTTACTTTAGTTACTTTTCCATACTATTAAATGAATTCCAGAACAATAATTTTTTCAACTGCTAAGGGAGATAACTCTCATGAGCATACCCCTCTTTATATGTGTATGTTTCGTGACTTTATCTGCAATGAATAAGAAGTACTTAGTACTTTATTAAAGATATCTGAAAAAGCTACTGATGGTTCAACCTTGCATCTGGCATGTACCGTATACCGGAAATTTTCGAGGTAATTTAAAATTTCGAGGTTTGAGACCCCACAGCTTTTCGAGGTGATTTAAATTTCGAGAGTTTGGGGCCTAAAATATATAAATATTTTAGACAATTTTAATTTCGAGGTTAGAAGAAAGTGCCCAGAAACATGACTTTACCGGATTAATACTCAGTGAACTATCGACAAGTAGCCAGTGATAACTGCCGCCTGACTGTTATAACTACCAGTATACCAGTCCATGGCAGAAATAATAGTAATAAACACAACCCTTTGTTCCTTTGTTGTGATAAATTACCCATGAAACACTCTGGTCGGGCAGTGTTCAAACATGACGCCCATTTTTCTCAGACGATATTGTTGTTTTAACAACTAACTATAAGCATGTATGATGGGTCTCTGCTGAAACTATGTTGTTGTTAGAAAGCTGACAAGTTGACCTCTTTAAGCGAAACTGACCAACAGCACGGATGCCTTTACAGCCCCAGGATGTTTGTGTAAACAACTCCCCTTTAAAGATGCGATTCATCAAACCTGGCATCGCCGATGGTCCGGTTTGGCCAGAGAGTGACATCGAGTGTATTGACAGTTGGTTTGACTTCACATGTAATACACTGGAGTGAATTACCTATATTTTATAATGCATGTTATTCTGGACCAACAATTACAACACAATTAAATAATCTCGGACACCGCGATTTCTGTTGTTTGTTCATTCAGGCCGTTCAGGGTCACTGAACGATAAGATTAGTTGTAGACAGGCATTAAAGAGTTAATACACATGTCAGGAAGTCATTGGTTGCTAGCAGTTGAAATGCTTATCGATAGGAAATCTAACCCAAAGGTTTGAAGTTCGAAAAATTCATGGATATAATATTTTCGAGGTTGCGCTTCTAACCTCGAAAACCTCGAAAAATTAGATACCTCTAAAATTTCCCCGCATAACGGTATATCTAGGCTGTAATGGTGTCAGTGAATTAACAATGCTACATTGTCGGAACCACATTTAAAATTAATATGTTTCAACTCCATCATTAGTGAGTTTGTTGAAAATTGCCTCTGTTCACCCAGCAGAAAATGGGTACCTGGTGGGATGTGACATGTGACTATTAACGTTCTAGCGCCTCACAGGCAGCATGGGGTTATCTGGGGTAATAATGATCTGATTGTGAGCTTTGAGCAGGATATGAAGCCTGGAAAGGCACGTTATAAATATTCAGCATTATTATTATTATTATTATTATTATTTCATTTGTGTACCAGGTTCTTCCGATATCTGCAGATGTGAGGAGTGAGGATGCTGTAAAACAAGCCCTGGACAACATCACATCTGAGTTTGACCTACCCACGATCATTGTCAACAATGCTGCTGGAAACTTCATCTCGCCTACGGAGAGATTATCAAACAATGCATGGAAGACTGTGGTTGATATTGTTCTGAATGGCACAGCCAACGTCACATTGCAAGCAGGGAAGCGTCTGATAGAGGCAGGGAAAGGTAAAGCAACATTGCCGCTGTGGTTAACAGGTCCCCAGATAATGTTTTGAGACATCAAGTATTTTCAGGGATTTTTCTAGGATTCCAAATAAGGGCTCTCAGAAAGAAAATTGGGAGAATTTTTATTTTGTTGAAAATGGTGATGTTTGTAAAGTTCTTAATTTCCTTAATTACGAGGTATTCTATCAATGAATGTTAACATTGTATTCAATGCAATAATGTAAAATTATACACATTGTATTGTACCTCTTTATTTTCATATCCAAAAGATAGCATAATAGACCAATACAGTATAATTTAAATATATTATTTTCTAGTTGTGTTTTTTTTTCACTCTGCTAGTGGTAAAGTGAGAAAATAAAAGATTATTTGTCCGACCTAAGATTCAGAAAAGATGCAGGGTGGGAAAAGATGCTGATGATGAGAACACTCTTGCAGGTGCTGCCTTTTTGTCCATATCCACCGATTATGCAGAGACAGGTTCTGGTTTTGTTGCACCAAGCGCTGCTGCCAAGTCAGGCGTTGAAGCACTCACAAAGTAAGTTGATATTTTAACATGAGGTTTCAGTATGCAACCATGCTGAAGACCCAGGTTAGATTCCCCATATGGGCACAATGTGAGACGACCATTTCTGGTGTGCCCTGTTGTGATATTGCTGGAATATTGCTAAAAGTGGCGTGAAACTCAACTCACTCACTCACTCACTCAGTTTGCAACTTGAACCACCAAGCCAAAGCCCCAGTAAAATTCTTATTGGTGTAGCCAGTTCAGCTAATGTAACAACCCTGCCCTAACCTGCTCCTGCCACTTCTGCCCCACTTCCTACCCCACCGCCTCGCCTGTGTACTTGCAAAAGGATTCTTATAATAAAGAAATTTAAAAATATAAAACAACAGTACAAGTACATAAGCCTTTGATAATAGATTGTGTGTTTTCTGAAAGGGCGGTGGGGTAGTCTAGTGGATAAAGCGTTGGCTCGTCACGCCGAAGACCCAGGTTCGAATCCCCACATGGGTACAATGAGTGAAGCCCATTTCTGGTGTCCCCCGCCGTAATATTGCTGGAATATTGCTAAAAGCGGCGTAAAACCAAACTCAGTCAGTCAGTTTTCTGAAAACAATAAACAAGCTTGATACATTGAACATTGTAATAAATAACTGCAAAAACAATAACAATGACAACAATAGATAAAGAAGACATACGTTAATGACAGTTTTCAAATGTCAGTACACCTGACCATTTGGTCATCATGTGGATATTCAACACCTCCATTTAAAGAGCATGTTTGAGTTTTCTGCGAAAAACAAAAGTTCTTGAACCAATTTCTCTTGTGTTGTGTTCCACAGATCTCTCGCTGCTGAATGGGCAAGATATGGATTCAGATTCAACTGCCTGTCTCCAGGAGCTATTGAGACAAAGGTAAGTTCACAGCTTTTCACCTGTTTAGACCCTGTCAGTTAAAATGTCTTCCGAGCTGGTAGCGAGAGATGACGTAATAGATTAGCTAGTCAAACTCTGTGACTTGGCTGATGACTGATTCGGAAATTATTTTAGACCTTTGTGGTAATAATATTCCAGAAATATCCCATGGGTGACACAAAGAAATGGGAATCAAACCCAAGTGATTGTTGAGATAAGAAATACTTCCTGTAGGCTACCCCTCCAGCTTCCAGAATTTGTATAGATTCGCAGTATGACATGGCTATTGTAGATGTTGTTCATGAGATATGGCTGCTGTAGCATTAAACAAAACTCTTTCACACACCTAAACCACTCAAAACCAAACCACTCGTCCAACCGCCCAACCATACCTGCTCATTGTCCCACCCACCAAACCATCAAATTCACCACCCACTCACTCATTCGAGTTGCAGTGTTTGCTTTACTCTTGGGTGGAACCTTTTGGAATAATTGGTTATACATTGTGCCAAATGAACAGTAATGAGTACAGTGTGCAAAATAGCCTTTGGCCCGCCAGCCCTTGGCTAGTAAAAAAACAGTCGGGCCAGTAAATCACCACAGTCACTGGCCCGACTGGCTAGTGATTTTTCATGGGGTAATATTTAAAATATATCACTGTCTCCGACTTGTCAAGTTATAATACACTTTTGAATCATGCAAGATTACGGCCTGATAAATGATGGTGTTTTACCTTTTTGTAATCTTTTGCTTAGTTTCTACATTCAAATTTTGGGCTTAGTGAATTATTTTCTGGGCTTGTAGCTTTCAGGCAAGCTAATCGGATTGGCTAGCAAAATTTGGAAACTATTTCACACGCTGAATGAGTAGTGAAAATAACTCACCTGTGGCCGTATCCACATGTCGGGCGAAATTCTAGTCCGGCGTAAAGTAAAATGTGCTACCTCGGACGTAACGTGAAACCGGTATGCACATATTAGATGTAGTTAAAGTTACGCCAGTCGAAGGCTTCTATATTTACGCCACCTACCCAGCTGGCGCGTAGCTGCATGTAGCCCTGAAATGGCGGCACTGGATGCCGAGTTTTTATCAGGCGCACATTTTCAAAAGGTTTGAAAAAGTGAACGTTGTAGCGAGAATTAGCAGCTCTGGTGGTCCTGGATCTGCATCACGGCTATAAAATTACACAGAAATGTCGATATTTAATTTCCTATCCGTTTGGTATAAATATAAGTAAGACTTCCTCGGGCGGTTTGAGAATGTTGTCTAACATTTTGTTACGGCGTTAAAAACTGTCAATTTCTCAGCTTTTGTCGTGGCACCGATAAAAGCACTCTGCTCTGATTTTTAATTTGGCATCTTTACAGAAAGTGTGAGCAAATAAAATACAGCCTGATATCTGAAGCGATATAAGTGTATATGAATTGGGTTTATGTGCTAATGCATAACGTTACACGCTCAACATTACAAATGACTGCAATAAGTGTCAAAAATGGATTTTCTTCTATGACGTCAACCCGACGACAGAGAGGTCATACCGCGATATAAAGATAAGGGGCATATAACTCCGGCTATGCTTAACACTAGGTCAATGTAACTCAGATCACTTGGAGAAAAGTTGTTGTGGATCACGGATGCTATATTCCGTTATGTTGTGTTCCACGGTGAACCAACCTATTCCATTACAAAGTTCCCCAATGTGAGCGGATACGCGTTTTGGTAGTTTCATAATCTATAAGAAAAGATGGCAATGTACTTACTTGAGAAAGCAGAATAGCGATTTGGATGGCCCTATCCGATATGTAAGTTAGTTCTTAGATTCCCATATTCTCCTGTTTGTGTAGATGTATTTTGACTAATTTTGCATCGTTATTACTCAGAGTACTAGCCATATCTTCAAATGTACTGAAATTGCTGATAATAATACAACATTTTAGTTGACATCATGGCTTGTTTTATGCATTTTCGCGAGAAGTCAGAAAAAAGACGACATTGGTTTGCTGATTAGTATCTTACCTAAATGCCATTAATTGTATAAAAGGTCTAGAAGCTTCTATGTCAGAATTTAACTCTCTTTAGCAAAACATAAAATGAATGATTTTACCAATTAAATAGTGTCCTGAATATATCAACAATTAGGACGGTTTGACTCATGTGATCTTATTTTGAGCAACACAAGCCACCTGTTTGGCACCAATTTAGCGTAAATCAAAAATAATATTTCACAACACCCAAATATTTTGCAGTTATGGCTACGTGTGATCTTCTAATACTTGTGTAAAGGTTTGAAATATGGTGTACTACACTAAATGTGTCAATTTCTTATGTAAATATTATTCAAACAATCAAAACTTATAAAGAATAAAACGCCTACCCTATATCCACGTTATAATATGGTATTGAACAAGGCTAAATGTATATACTGAAATTAGTTTGATGAAAAAAAATATCTGAACGATATGCAAAAATATACATCATAATACTGAAAGTGTAATCGGAAGGATAGGGCGATTGTGTGTACTCTTGTTCAACCGACCTTCACCTCAAAGAAATTGCCTAACATGTACAACAATGTTGACGTATGACATCACTACTGCCAACTGACTTCTTATAAAATGGCGGCCTCACTGACAAGGGTACAGAGGATTTTATGTGGACCCTTCCCTTGATTCAGGGATCGCTTTGTACATAAATATGAGATATAAGTAATCAGAATTATTCTGACTATATGTGTATTGTTATATGTTTTATCGCTTTCATTGTAAGTAAGAGAAGAAGCCAGAAATGCTGATAATTACCTTTGTCGCTCTGCATTGATTTTAAGGCCAGTCATGGCGATCACGCTGCACGGAAACTCGGCGATAATTTCTTATGAAATATCAAATGATTGCATTGTATCTGTTTTAATTTCCCATTTCTTGCCTCTGCATACTCTTTCCATGCATATTCTAAAGCTAATGAGCCATTGCAAGCAATGAATAGACGGGCTGAATGTCGAGGAAAATTTCAGAAAATGCTAAGTAGTGTAAAATCGAACTTTTCTTTTCTTTACAAGCTTGCTACTTTCCAGCACAGCGCTTGTTTGGACTTTCACACCCAATATCTTTCGCTTCATTTTATCAAGACAGTTGATATTGGTGACAAAGACCATTTGTAATTTGATTCTTAAATGTATGGGGAATTCAGTGATGCATTTGTCGCAGCTGAATGTGATATATAATGATGCAATAGCGCCTCAATACCGCCTCCGCGAAGCGCGGATTTTGTAAACATTATCCAATATGACGGAAAGCGACTTTCGGGCGCTCGTAAGTGTATTTCAGAATTATCATTGCAGTGATTTCATGAAAACCTGATATCAGTGATCATTAATATGCTATTTTGAAATTCAATACTTCTGAGTAGTAATTATCCGATTTGAACATTTCAAAACATACACCAAATAACGCTGTGAATCGCGGATTTCGTAATGTGTCAAAAATGGCAACATTTATGGTGAAGCCCATTTTGAAAGTCCATGTTATTTCTCCATCAGGATCCATCGGTAAAGTTGGGTTTTCTCGGTTTTCTTTGGCTTTCCATGATTACGGCTGAAAGGGATGTACTGCGGGTTGTTTCTCGCTACTTTACCGTGGTTTAAAAACGCTCGAAAATCTGTAAAAATACCACGCTGCCTTTGACGTGAATCCGTTAAGCCGGGCGTATAACGCCTTTTTGGCTTTACCCGGACGTTGTGCATGACGTGTAAGAGGAGGGCACTGCTAAGCCCGACGAGGTGTGTTACGCCTGACGTTAGCTACTCGACATGTGCATACACCGCCACTGGAAATGAAGCATATTTTGTTCACAAAACAGGATGTTAACAACAAATCTGAATCGCTTTCTTCATTATGTTTCATTTTGCTGACCTAACCAAAAGGAGGTTTGACTGTAAAATCTGAAAAGAGTGAGTGAGTGTGGTTTATGCCCCTTTAATAATAATAATAATAATAATTGGCTTTTGTATATAGCCTAGTTTCCATCATAGATGCTCAACGGCGCTGCATAACATCGTTAAAAACACAATAAGTGTGAAAAGAGTTCTATTCAGAAGCCATCTTGAAGCAGTAGGTTTTGAGCAAGTTCTTGAATTGTGAATGTGACTCAGTTCGTCTTGAGGGTGACTGGAAGATTGTTCCACAGAGCTGGTGCTGCTACAGAAAAGGCTCTATCACCCATTGATGTTTTAGTGCTTGGCTGTGTTAGTCTTTAACGCATCTTTGATCTAAGAGCTCTGGTGGTTACATGCAGATGTACAAGCTGGCCGAAGGTAGTCACAGGACTGGTCATCGTGAGAGGCAGTTATGAGTCAGTAGCAGAATCTTGAAGTAGATCCTGTAATTTACACTGGAAGCCAGTGAAGGGATTTCAGAACTGGCGATATATATGGTCATGGCTGATGGGTTAGAGAGACCACACGAGCTGCTCGCGCTTTGAATTTTCTGCAATTTAGAAAGTGTTGAAGATGCCGTGTTGCAAAAAAAGAGTGAGTTGCAATAGTCCAGCTTTGAGATTACAAGTGTTTGGATTAGGAGCTTTGTTGTCTCGGTGTCTAGAAAGTTGCGGATCTTGCCGATGTTGTAGATGTGAAAGAAACATGACTTGCAGAGGGACTTGACATATTCATCTAGGGACATGTTGGACTGGAAGATGATTCCCAGATTTCTGGCTGAGTTTGAGGTCTTTTAGGAATATTCCAGCAATATCACGGTGGGGGACACCAGATACGGGCTTCACACATTGTACCCATGTGGGAATCGAACCCGGTAAGTTGAGTGACGAGCAAATGCTTTAACCACTGGGCTACCCCACTGCCCCCATAAAGAAAGAAATAACATAAGTTGTTGGTGCAATGTTAATGTGTTTTTTCAGTCATATATAAGAAGACAACCAAACTTTGTGTTTCAGGGAGCATTCAGTCGCCTTGACCCGACTGGTCAGTTTGTACAGAAGTTTGTGCATCGTATCCCTGCTGGACGCCTTGGGCAAGTGCCTGAACTAGCCAACTTGGCTGCATACCTGGTCAGCGACTATGCCAGCTGGATCACTGGACAGGTAACTCACTGACCACTTGTAGGGTTGCTGTATGGTGGAGACACTGACCACTTGTAGGGTTGCTGTATGGTGGAGACACTGACCACTTGTAGGGTTGCTGTATGGTGGAGACACTGACCACTTGTAGGGTTGCTGTATGGTGGAGACACTGACCACTTGTAGGGTTGCAGTATGGTGGAGACACTGACCACTTGTAGGGTTGCTGTATGGTGGAGACACTAGGGTTGACCACTTGTAGGGTTGCTGTATGGTGGAGACACTGACCACTTGTAGGGTTGCTGTATGGTGGGGACACTGACCACTTGTAGGGTTGCTGTATGGTGGAGACACTGACCACTTGTAGGGTTGCTGTATGGTGGAGACACTGACCACTTGTAGGGTTGCTGTATGGTGGAGACACTGACCACTTGTAGGGTTGCTGTATGGTGGAGACACTGACCACTTGTAGGGTTGCTGTATGGTGGAGACACTGACCACTTGTAGGGTTGCTGTATGGTGGAGACACTGACCACTTGTAGGGTTGCTGTATGGTGGAGACACTGACCACTTGTAGGGTTGCTGTATGGTAGAGACACTGACCACTTGTAGGGTTGCTGTATGGTGGAGACACTGACCACTTGTAGGGTTGCTGTATGGTGGAGCAGTGTTCACACGGGCATGAAAAATCCTGAAATCTAAGTGTTTTACCCTAAAAAGGCCCCAAATTCATTTAAACCTTGAAAAAACCTTATTTGTAAGTGATTTGCCCTTCCGACTTGCCAAGTTACAGGAAACTAATGCATTAAAAATACCTTACAATGCCAATGTGTGGTAATTAATCTCCATGAGGAAGCAAAACTTTTCCAGTACAGTGATGTAGCTAAGAGTAATTTCCCTCTGATGGTCGGTCCCACATTTGACCAACCTTTTGTGTATTCTACTACTTATGTGTTAGATGTGTTTCTACAGTTAAGGGGCGGTGGGGTAGCCTAGTGGTTAAAGCGTTGGCTCGTCACGCCGAAGACCCGGGTTCGAATCCCCACATGGGTACAATGAGTGAAGCCCATTTCTGGTGTCCCCCGTAGTGATATTGCTGGAATATTGCTAAAAGCGGCGTAAAACCAAACTCAGTCAGTCAGTTTCTTCAGTTAAAATTGTTGATTGGGCCTAAAGACCCATGAAACGCCTTAAATTTGGTGGCTGGTAATCTGTACGAACCCTGTTGCAGGTGGTGAGACTGAATGGGGGTGAGTACCCGGCCTCGTCAGGGATGTTCAGCCCGCTGGTACAGGTGACCAAGGAGCAGTGGGACCAGTTGGAATCCATGATCAGAGGGGTGAAAGGATCCTGAACTGTGCACGGAGGTCCGACACTTCTCACAACAGTCCCTCCAGCTAGCTCATACTATAGGGCATTGATTGTTTGATGACCAGGGCATGGATTGTTGATGATCAGGTCATTGATCGTTGATGACTAGGTCATTGATTGTTGATGACTAGGTCATTGATTGTTGATGACTAGGTCATTGATTGTTGATGACCAGGTTATTGATCGATTCATTGATGACCAGGTCATTGATCGTCATTGATTGATGACTAGGTCATTGATTGTCGATGAACAGGTCATTGATTGTTGATGACTTGGTTATCTATTGTTGATGACCAGGTCCTTGATCGTTGATGACCAGGTCATTGATCATTGATGACTTGGTTATTGATTGTTGATGACCAGGTCATCCAGTACCAATTAATCAGAATGGCTGTATATGACTGTGTGTTTGAATGATTCTTTGCAGAAATTAAAGATTTGACCCAAGCATTTTTGTACATGATGAAGGACATTCAATGAATATAGCCTTGAGAGACTTAATTGATGAGTTAGTGAGTGATTGGATGTAAACCGCAAGTAACTCATCTTGTATTCCATGACATTGTGTTACAAATCTGTTACTTCACTGATCACTTTGCTGTATGTTATGTGATATTCCATACAGACAATCTGTTTGTGTTGTGTTGTAAGATTTAGAAATAATAAAATTGTTATATTTTCATTTGTTGTCTGTTTTACATTTTAGTAGGAAATCTCAAAATAACATTTTCTATATTGAAAGATATTCTAGTTTCTGCGACATTATTTATCCAATGTTGAATATCAGTCCATAAAGAGTTGACATGTTTACAATACCAGAATAGGTGGCTGATATCACAATCTAATTCTTTACATTTACACGCTGGGGACTGTTTATATCCATTCTTGAAAAGATATTTTTCAACAGGAAGGACTCTATTTATTACTCTGTACTGGAGCCACCGTAAATGAGTACTATCTGTACATCTAAATGGTATTTCGTTTGTATTTCTTCAATTTAAAGCTTCAGGACCATCAGTCATATCTTTATCCCATTTTACGTTAGCTGAAGTTGCAATAAACTTAGAGTCTAATAATACGTTATAGAAGTGTTTAGATCCCTCTACACCCACTTTGATATGACAGATATTAAATGGTAAAATCGGCTGACTTAATGGCAAAGCACTTTCTTCAACATGTTTGTTCAAATAAACCTTCAAAGCATTTCTAAGTCCATAAAAAAATAGTGGGTTGAATTTAATATTATACATATTTCTGAACTCCAAACAGATACAAGTTTGCCTTCAGAGTTGACAAAGTCATTTATAAATTTTATTCCCGCTTCATACCATTTCCTAAACAATATGGACTTATTGTCTATTTTTACATTGTCATTGTACCATATATACTGAGAATAAATATCTGATCGAGTTTTCCCAACTTTACCAAGGTATACACTCCACGCAAGAAGAACATCTCTCCAAAATGTATTACTAATTTTTGATAATACATAATCTTTAATATACACTGCATCCATTTAAAAAATGTTACTGGGTATGACATTTGATTCATAGAGAAAGGTAACATAACTATTTTGTAAATTCAAAAGTCTTTTACCCCAAGAAAGTTTTTGAGCATATATAGTATGACCAGAAATTATTGAGAATTTTAGGAATATGTTTAATTGGATTTCTAGTTTAAACAACCTTGACCAGCTATCAAGTGCTTGGTTTCATTCAAGAGAGACAACTCCGTTAATCCTTTTTCATTAGTTTGTGAAGAGTTATCCCCCTTTGTTTACTTGCTAGCAGACGACATTTTCAGTGATCCTCAGTATGGATGATTAAGAGAAGTTGATTTTAGAGTATAACAAGGACGTCAGATCAGCTAAAGTGATTTCAAGTAGAACAGGCATCCCTTTGTCCACTGTTTATCGTGTTGCAAATATTGCAAATGGATATGGCATTGAGCACCAGGGAGGCACAGGTAGGCCCAGAAAATTGACTGTCGGTTACAGGAGGCGGCTTGGTATTCTTGTTTCTAAAAACAAACGAAGGAGTTTAGAAACCTTAAGGCTGGATATGATTGATAGAGGAACTGTGGCTGTCTGTAAGGAGACAATTAGAACTGAGCTGCATGCAATGGGTTGGCAGAAATTCCATCACCGATCATGAAACCTGAACAAAAGGAGCGAAGGTTGAACTGGTGCTTACAGCATAGAAATTTTGACTGGGACAATGTGATTTTCTCAGATGAAAGTTCTGTGAGACTGTTTCCTAATACACAGAAATTCTGGACCAAACAAACTGAAAAACCTTTGTATCAGCGCCCAAAGTACAGTTCGAAATTTAACGTGTGGGGTGGCATATCTGTGTTAGGGGCAACGCCCCTCTGTGTATTTGAAGGGAATATGAACAGTGAGTGGTACACAGATATTCTCGAGGGTCATTTGCATTCACTTGTTCTATGGAAATTTTTTGATTTTCCAGCAGGACAACGACCCAAAACATCGTTCAAAGCATTCCCAGGCCTGGTTTCGGACCCAAAATATGACATTATTAGATTGGCCAAGCTGTAGCCCTGACCTAAATCAAATAGAAATGTTTGGGGACTTATGAAGGAAAGTGTCAATAAGAAAAATCTGACAAATATTGCTGAAATGAAAGAAGAGGTGGTCCGATATTGGGACAGCATGGACCACGACTTTCTAACTTCTTTGATCAGTAGTATGCCCCGCCGCATTAAAGCCTGCATTTCTGCCCCTGGTGACTTGACAAAATACTAACTGTTCACCTGTCTTTGAATCTGGAGTTATGTTCTGCTAATATTCACATTTAATACGTGAGTAATGAGTGGAAAATAAAAAGATTACAATCTTTAAATTCTCAATAATTTCTGGTTGTACTGTATAATCTATTATACTAGGAACTTTAATACCACCATCTGGAATATTGCAAATAATTCTTTCCCTTTTAACTTTGTCTGGTTTATCATTCCATATAAATTAGAAACATTTTGCCTGAAAGTTATTAATAATAGCATTTGCCGGGGTTGGTATCGTTGCAAAAAGATGATTAAGTTTTGGTATCAATAGGGATTTTTATAGTATTTCTTCCCTGAGGTGTTAATGGACCCATTATTAATTAATACAATGTTGATTCTCTAAATCCCCAATGTTTGCTTGAATGTTAGCAGTCTCAGTGATGAATTGTTGAACATTCAGAGAGAGAGAGATGTTGTTTTAAGCAGCCCGAGCCAAATCGTACAAAACAAACGAAACAAAATGGGTTCAATCAAATACATTATAGGAGTTTCGCTCTAACGGATAAGTGTGTTTAAAGTATGATTAAATGTCACGCAATAAAGAGTTGGAATGATGTAATTCTAGATATCAGATGTAAACAGATTTGTTGCGGTTTAGGTTAATTTTGACAGTCCGGCCCCAGTCAACTCGAACACTTCGGCCTGGGTTGGTTGGTTCGCCGAACTCCAGTATTCCAGCTATATGGCGGTGGTCTGTAAATAATCGAGTCTGGACCAGACAATCCAGTGATCAACATCACGGGCATCGATCTACGCAATTGGGATACGATGACATGTGCCAACCAAGTGGGCGAGCCTGACCACCCGATCCCGTTAGTCGCCTCTTGCGATAAGCATGGGTTGTTGAAGACCAATTCTAACCCGGATCTTCACGAGTATCGGCCTGGGGCAAAGCGTATACCGACTATCCGGCACTGTGGCTTTGGCCTCCCTTTCACGGCGTATTTTCAGGAATACTTTTTGTGACATTTTACATTTAAAGACATAAAGTGTTCGGTCAACACATGAAGTGAAGCATGTGTAACTCTTTGTCGGAATATTTTTTAAGAAAATGCTTCATTTGTGAGTAGACAGGCTCGTTTGTGTTATGGGGGAACATGTTATCGTAACAGATATTTCTATGAAGACGTGTTGCTTTTTATTTGTATTCGAAAAAACATTAACAGTGCTGTAATGATGATGATTTGGTAATTTAACAGTGCTGTAAGAGCTTGAACATATTATCTAACATGTCATATCAACCAACTTGAAATTGGCCAATATTCACTTACAATTAAAATAAACATATTGTGATGATTATTATTTTTCTTTCTTTGCAATGTTGCATGGAATATAAACATTGGTAAATTCTGAAGTATTTAAATGTTTCTACTTGTTAGTAATGATATAAATTTAATAACGTTTGGATATCTATAAAAATGATTTGGTAAATATTTTCTTCTAAGATCTGAGTACAGCGGACAAACATAGTCTCTCTTGTCGATTAATATTAGTAAAAAGTCCAGTTTCAATAAATAAATCATGAGATGAACATCAAATACGTGAGAATGCAACTCTTTACTTTACATACAGATATACAGTGCATAATCACCCAATGTAGGCTGTCGACATAATTGAAAACATTGGGTGCTATGTTTTATGAGATATGGCGTTTAAATAAGTTTGGAAAACGGTCAAAGTGTCGTCATGGTGACCTTCATTCCCCAGTTAAGGCCAATGTCACCCAAGAGTTTGAAAAATCAACTCGTGTCTGGGTAATCCCCCAATGTGGGCTGTCAGCAAATTTGAAGACATTGGGTACAACAGTTCATGAGATATCGCGTTAACAAGACTCGGGGCGTACGGACGGTCGGACGTACGGAAGGACGCCGCTGAATACATAGTTCCCCTTCCGCGTTGCGGCGGGGGACATATTAGGGTAGCAGCTAACGTTTTGGTCATACCATGCGTTACCAAAACCAGTTTTAAACAGCAATGTTTTTTATATTCGTTACCCAATTATTTTTTCCATTATTGTCATAAACTATCATCATATTGTAACACATTTTGGGAAATCTATGTGCAGGCATGTTCAACAATCTTAACCAGTATTTGATAGCCTTAACTTGAAAAGCATGTGCATCGGGAATCTACCACATTCACCATAAACCATAACACTAGATGTACTTGTTTATTCATTTTCCTACTCAAATCATGCATTCGTGAAAGATTCTGTAGTTTATTTCTATTTACCGAGTCAAAAGCTTAAGCTTTAAGAAATCTACGAAAAAGAGCATAACATTTACCACCTAATTGTAATTGACATATATGAATAGAGATGAACATACAATGTATGAACATTTCATTACCATGACAACATGATGCTATCATATGAATAAATTATATACATACATATGTCAATGTGGTTGTGTTCCCTTTCTCAATTGAAATACTTAAAGGTCACATGCAACGTAAAACACAACTTTGCAGATTCTGATACCTTTCGGTATGGACTTACCGAAACAAATCATCAAAAATGCAAATTCAACTTATAAAGTTGAAAAATAACGCGATGAAAAAAAACGCGCGAAATCGTAGTTCAAACGATTCACTAACTTACCCCCAGCGCTTGGGGGAATTGAAGTGGTTTCAACAGCTGGGCTGCGCTCATAGCACATGCGCAGTGAAATAGGTTCGCGGCGCTTGGAAGCGGGTTGTCCGGTGAATATTCGGTGAAGGCTTTGGTGTGAGCTATTTTTCTAATGTTTTGTTGATATTTCACAGGCGCGAGTTTGTTATATGTTATTACAGTAGATTACCGATTTAACTGTTTATATAATTTCATTTGTCTGTTTCACCACACGTTCTTCTTACCGAGTCACTTTCTCAGTTCGATACTTAAAAGCAATGTCATTATTTAGCGTCGACAGAATTTCTAACTGTGATATAGATATGTCGTTGTCACAGACAAAACTCAATGTCTGTTTTATTGACACCTATATGTCTGCCTGCCTGTCTGCTAATGACAATATTCAATACACAACTGCGATCACTGACCACATGCAATTTGAACTTAACACCTATCAGGCTATACACCATCAGAGACCACATACCGTCTCTGACACCATAAACAAAACGCATTGATTTATGGCCCGAGTTCGGTCTCTGTCACATTATGTAATTACACAGACAGGCAGACGTGATACTTGTACACGTGACATGTTATGATGTCTGTTGATTGCAAAATGTTAGACACAAAAAAATGAGCATGTATTTACAAAACCCAACATCTCTATATATACACACACAATAAACCGTGAGGGCGGCATCTGCAAATGAACCAACCGTTACACTTGAGTTCTTCCATTTCTCTATCAAAGCAGGGAGACTCTATAAGGTAGTAGAGTATCCCTGATCAAAGGTAACAGCTTTCTCGATTGCTGTGCATTAGACCGTAAATGTTGTTGTTTTAAGCTGTCTAAAGAATGACTGTCTGATCTAGGGGAGATAACCGATTCAGCATGAACCAATAAAGGTTAATTAGGTAGCCCCATTATGTTAATTAGCGAAAGAAAAAACCCCGCTAGAACACACAATCCCACATTACCAACTGGTACCAATATAAATTCATATATAAAAACAAGCCAAACCACATAATCTGGAAAAAAACATAAAAAGAAACAAAACAAACATCAACCAAACAACCTCACAGTTCAGCTCCCCCTACTTCTGGCTAATTTCCAAAATTCAAATTCATATAAATTTAATTATGCAACCCTAACGCCCCTTCAGGTAACGCCCCTTCAGGTTGATATATCTTCGGTAAATTCGCCCCTCTTTCGATCGAACACTAAATTACACTAAATGTCCTGGCGGGCCCGTATGCCAAACACGCATTATGTCGGAAAGTGCACATTATATCTCCAAGCCATCATGTTCAAGTCAAAACACTGTCACTTCCTGCCTTGGACGCCACATTTTACGGATGGTGGGGTAGCCTAGTGGTTAAAGCGTTGGCTCGTCACGCCGAAGACCCGGGTTCGAATCCCCACATGGGTACAATGTGTGAAGCCAATTTCTGGTGTCCCCCGCCGTGATATTGCTAAAAGCGGCGTAAAACCATACTCAGTCAGTCAGCCACACGTCACAAGCTGAATTTAAGGCAGTAAGTTATAACCTGCTCAAATAGACATAACAAAGAAAACGACATAGCTTTCAGAAGATAGTGGCTTTTCTACGAGACTCTCGGTATATGTTGTCATAGTTTTCTTTAAATGTCATTGTTTAAATATTCATTTCGGTTCAAACATGGGCAAAATTATTTTCTTGTCAACGCTGAACGTGTATCTACATAGATTGTTTGTTGTTTGACGCCGCTCTCTGCAATATTCCAGCTTCTTTGCGGCAGTCTGTATATAATCGAGTCTGGGCCAGACAATCCAGTGATCGACAGCATGAGAATCGATCTCTACAAATGGGATAAAATTACATGAGTCAAGCAAGTCTGCGAGCCTGACAATCCAATCCCGTCCGTCGCCTCTAGATATAACGACAAGCATGGGTTACTGAAGACCAATATATAATAAAGAAAAGTTAGTGATGACGATATTTTTTATAACGATATCCCGAAAAATGTTCTGTAATTGTTCAACGCGAATGAAGAAAAGAATACATTGTTGAAAAGAAACGAAATACCCTTGTCATGAAATATCTTCAACGATGAATGTAAACAAATGACTCAGCCCTCAAGGTGTCTTTGAAACGTCACGTGTGTGAAATCAACACCTTGTCTCATGACATATATTTTCATTTATGGGCCATAAACTGCAGCATCAATTCTTGTTCTATGGCTGACTGAAGTCAGCACCAAAACATCTGACCCATTTTAAACAAACAAACCATGAAACACATTTGTGTCTTCGTGAGATTTCGTGACAAGTAGATACGCAGTAATATTAGCATATGAAAAGAAATTCGTCACGTCTCCTCCGTTTTCGAAGGCAACCCGCCTGTACCGTGTGTGCGTCATAACTCGAGTGATATGCAACCTTTCCATGATGCATAATATTGAAAGGGAGGTAACTGCTAATGGTGTGTATTCCGATTCGACGAGTTTTCGCATACGATCTCATAGTTTGTGTTCTGTTTGTGGTAGTTTTTTCTCAACTTGTGTCATGAATTTGTCACCATTAATTGAACCTTAAGGTAGGTAAAAGCCGAAAGCTCAGATATTAATCTATTTCTTGGTGAAATTGTTCTTAAAACACTTGTCTGAAGTTGTCAAACACTTCGTGCACAAACGTTCGCGAAGTGGGCCGGGGGCTGTTTCAAGTGTTTGTGAACAGGCGTCTGAATGTGAGGTAAATATATGTAGGTCAAATGAACAGTTCTCATCTTCCAACCCCCATATATGAATACTTATTATGTTTCTTACACTATAACTGATTTCATAAATATTTCGACAAACGGTTTTCGCAATTGTTTGTGGGAATACGTATCTGCTGTCACTGTCAGTGTCATTTGGCAATGGCCGACCCGTGTCAGTGTTTGTCAACAATGTGTCCTCGTGTTATTGTTTTCGGACACGAAAGAACATCCGTTGTTGTCTCGATTATAACATGAACACTTGTAAAACATGTCACTAACTTATGAAAGATAAGATTATCCAAAATACAAGAGTTTACAATCACTATGTGACGCAACAGTTAGTCTGTCTCACAGTCCCTGAACCACATTATTTTCCCAGCTGTCGAGCCCTCTCAGCAGTGCTAAAGCCCTAAATAAAGCAAGTCTAGAATTCCTCAGGTTCTGAATCTCTGGTCTCCCTAGGGCTCCTTGTCAATTTAAATGGGCTTGTTTGTTACTATCAAACTTATATTCAGGGACTAAGCAATAGTCTAGGCAATAGTATAAAACTTGAGGTCCCAAAACACCAAATGTTCAGTTTCTTGGCCCTGAACGATCAATCAGATTATAAAGAAAAAAGGATACATAATTGTCTATGTTGTTCAGCTTTAAGTGTTCCTCTCGTTCCCCCATCCCAAATATAAAAAAAATATTTATAAATATACTAAAATTATTAACAAAACTTAACACAACAATTACTAGAGAACTCACAAAATGACTAACAGTCCAAAATTTAAGTTAGGGTTAGAGTTAGGTTTAGGGTTGGGGGAACGGAAGGAACTCTTTCCGTTTGCTGATTACTCCCACTCACCCGCCCCACCCCACCCTGACCCAACGCCCCATCCCGGACCCACACCATATCCCTGTTCATTCTCTCCCTTGACACACATTGGGTGAAGCACACAGCCTTAAAAATATCTTTTGTTCTTTATAACTATGACAGAAGACTAGTGTAAACTTTAATGGTCATAAGATTTCGTACCAAGTCCCATTTAAATGAGACAATATTTTACAGTTTTCATCAGTTTTATTCTTTTGCAATTTGTAACATAATTAAGGCATTAGGAACTGGTTTGGAAACATAGCCCTCACATGCTGGAAGTAAATCAGAAATGATAAGAATGCATTATATTATAGAACTATCATTTATGGATTTTTACCTCCCCTCACCACAAGTTGGACAGGTTGGCTCGATGTTGATAGCAGCTTGATATCTCAGTCAGGTAGCGAAATACAATGGCAGAAGTTTGGTCTGATACAGCCATGCTCTCTAGTGCTCACATTGCTTGCTTATGTAGGATTTCCAGTGAAAAAATCCTCACCTATTGAAGTCTGTGAAGCTTTACCATGAAAATTATTCTCTAATATTAGTCATTTTGTTTGAAATGTACTCTACTTTTGATTGGGATAACCATATATGTCAGATATGATATGCACTACATGTATGAGAATCGGTTTTATTACTCACCCGTTGAAGATATCACTACTTAATAAGTCTACAATGTTATTACACATGCAATCGTTCTGTGAGTTGAATTCTGAGATTTATTTTGCTAATGTTGGGTGAGTAATAAATATAACACTATACGATGCCCCATGTAATACCATATTTATGAAACACAGGAATGGTATTGGCATCTAATTTGCTTTTGCTCGTTTGATACCAAACCATTCACTCGTTTCATTCATGAATATGGTATTTTTAAATTATTTTTTATCTTCTATTATTCCATTTCAAGTAGCATGTACAGGCAAAAGGTGACATGTGTTGGCAGTTGCATCATCAAGTTAATATACAAAATTGTATGCACATACGAGGGTGTAGATATATACAGGAGCAAGATGAAAGTGTTATAACTGTATTGGACACATTAGTTTTAGTAAGCCAAATTGATGTGTGCTAAATAGATTAAAATGTCAGAGTAGGGTTTCTAAGTGAAGCCAATTCCAAGTAAAATAACTAAATTTATTATTTTTCATTGCAATAAACCTTTCAATATAGCATATGTCCTTAAGCACCATAAGAAATTCTGCAAAGGATATATCTTGCTGTTTAAGGCTTGAAGTATAGATACATCTTTTGGCAAATAGTAACATGTGATTTACTGCCTGGTTGTTTTAGTGCAGTCCAAACATAGTAATGAATTTAGAAAGTGTCAAATTGGTTTGGAGGTTATTATTAAGGAATTCTTCAAATTTAGCCAAAAGTTCTGAACAAATTGACATTCAAAGAAAACATGATATATCTTCTGAAGCGGTTTTACAAAATGTACATGTATCGTCATCAATTAACTTCATCTTTAATAATTCATAAATATAGTCTTATACGTGACTAGTGGTGGTCCGATTAATTGAAATAATCAAAGATGCAAACAAGTATTCCATAATTGTTTGTGTTCGATTATGAGAAAACATGATCGATTGCTTGGCCGTTTAGTGACTGCGACAAATCTTCGATTATTTAAATTAATTGGACCACCACTAGTATGCAATGTTTCATTTCTTCGCCAGCAGTATTCCAGGTAACGTGTATAACACTGTGACATATGCAGACCGCGAGTCATTTGAAGCAGATTCTACATGCATGACATACTGTTTGGTAACAGACTATGGGAGCTGGTCGGTTTCTTAGAAGTTTCAGCTTAAACTGGACTGACAATATTAATGTTTCTATATTTGTCTTCAGTGTGCACGCACACACACACATACATATAAAGATAACTATTAACATTCACCCAGTGAAACTCTGTGGGTGAGGTTTGTTTGATTAATTTAGGTGTCTCTTTGCTAATCCACACAGGTAAAGCAGTCAGGAAATAAAGATTAACTTTATTATTTTTTTGGTCAGTGTAACATTTACCTGCAAGTGGTCCTCCCTCGTAAGAAATAGCGAAAAGTGACAACAAAATAATGATCGTTTGTTAAACAACTTTTTTTATTCGGGTGTCCAAAATTATGAGACAAATCATCAGAGTTGGTCTGTCGATTTCATGTGACTGTGCAAAATTTGGTTTTGTTGTAATTATTAGATTTTGTGTTTGTGAGCAATTTATCGCTCTCAAAAGAAGTCAAACGGGCTAAAGGTTTTAGTGTAAACACCCAAGGTAGAAGCAGTATAAGTGCAGTCTTTGGTTTTCATCCAAGGTTAAGGGTATTCATTCATCATGCCAAAGACCAAGGTTCGTTTTCCCACAGGGTACAATGTGTGAAGGGTGAGATTCACATGAGGCATGAGGGTTGGTGTTTTGTTCTCTTGCTATGTAGCGAAAGACTTCAAGAGTTGGTTCTTGCTGTTGCCTTGCCTGTAACTAGGCATTAAGGGGACACAACAAGGGCAGGTTGGCTTTGAGTCAGTGTACAAAGTATACAAAGTTTATAACCTTTGTGTTTGTTGCAGGGTGATGATCTGATGAGAGCTTCCAGCACCTCAAAGCACAAGGACGTACTAGTTCAACACTGACATATGCTTAATCATCCGTCAAGATCTTCCAATATGGCTGCTTCGTCACTTCCTTTTGACGCTCCAATTTCACCACCATCATACGAGGAAGCTGTACAGTCACCTGCTCCAGAGATCCCCAGAGTCGAAATTGCAAGCAATGATGAACCTCCACCTTCTTACACTGAGGCTACTAAGGATGATGTGTACCCCAGCAATTATCTCCCTTCTGATCAGCCCGAAGTGCAGAGCACTAATGACCTCACTGGACTTATTATTGTTAGTATAGAAAGGGCTGATCACCCTAGGCAAGGGAGGCAACCCAGGCTTTTACATCAATCCACTTCACAGGTAGATAATGTTGGGTTGTTGTTAAATTGTATTCATAAAATATTTGTAATATATATACATTGTTTAATAACTATAAGAATAGGGTGTATTTATATATTATCCAATGAAGCATGATAAAAGGGCTCATATTTTTTTGTCACCCTAGCCAATAGTTGTGTGCTCTTTTAATTTCATTCTCAGCTCCCTGCATGGGAACATTAAACCAAGCTGCCTTCTGAGGGGCTGTTATAATGAACATGGTGTTTACAAATTAGAACATGCACTCATCAACCTGTGTTGGAAGTCAGGGGCTACTTCCTGGATTGAGTAGTCCGACTCTGTGACTTGGTGGATAGCTGTGAAAAGAGTTGTTCATAAAATTGTCTGGTCTGGACTTGATATTTATATATCAGTCACCGCCTCCATGGTATAGTGGTTAGAGTGTACACCTGGAAAGCAGAAGGTCGCAGGTTCGTTCCCCGGCCCGCGTCATACCAAGAGACGTTAAAATATGGTACTTGTTGGTCCCTGCCTAGCACTCAGCATTACTGGGTACAACAAGGACTGGTCGGCTCGGAGTCAGTATAATGTGTCTGAGTGGGATATTCATGCTTCACTGCGGCATGGTATCTCAGTGGGCTAGCACTATAAAACCAGCTTAAGTCTGGGCTAGTACAGCAGCCGCACATACACACGCATGCATGTCGTCATATGAGCGAAATATTCTCAAGCACGACGTTAAACCCAATATCACCTCACCTCACCCTCATGTCTGATCTGTTGTAAACCTATTCCCCCTCTGAATAATACAGCTCTTGCTTGTCTTCAGCATTGATAATGGCCTGGTTTGTACTGGAGGTACGAATCCAATATTCAATAGCTGATCCCATGGGGTCTATGATAGGAACAGATCCTTGCCTGTAAATAGAAGAGACTGGGGATATAAGTGATTAAAGACATGAACACGGATCCTACACTGATCTTTACATATTTTTCTGCATTCACCGATAATGGTATTTGTATTTATCTTCGATATGCAGTATTTTAAGCATCATCATATCGAATGTCCTGTTCCTTTTGTATTAATGCTAATCAATGTTGTGTTTAGTTCCTGATTCAATTTTGCCGATGAATCATTGTCCTCGTAATCCATTATTAATTGGCAAAATGAAACTAGTCTCAGGACGTCGACCTTTATATTTCACTCAACCGTAAAGTTTGGTCGAAAGGTCGGCGTTATGAGCCTGAACCCGTACTACAGTACAGGTCATGCCATTAAAAAAGGGGGTCGTGTCATAAACATTTTAGTCGTAATCCGAATCGCTCATGTCACAGTCCTCTTCTTCAAAATTGCATGGGGGCGGTGGGGTAGCCTAGTCGTTAAGGCATTTGCTCTTCTTGCCGAAGACCCGGGTTCGATTCCCTACATGTGTACAATGTGTGAGGCCCATTTCTGCTGTTCACCGCCGTGATATTGCTGGAATATTGCTAAAAGCGGCCCAAAACTAAACTCAGTCTCTCACTCACTCAATTAATTTTTTCAATATTTATTTCAGAACCGGTCACAACCCAGTAGAGATAGTTCTGGACGTGGAACTTCACCGTCTGACCCTCGGTCACAAACTGCAGCCAGGAAGAAGTGGTCAGTTTGTTTGCTGGGAGCAGTAATGGGAGTGTTTGTTGTGGCGGGTCTCATCGCAGCGTCCGTGCTCCGCCACTATCCGTCTTCCTCTAATGGCTCAACCAACCAGGAACCAACATTCAAGTTTGACTATCCTACTGTTGATCCAGCAATTTTAAAAGAAATTGACAATGCTAAAAAAGATAGTGACTTTCTAAAAACATTATATTCAACTCACAGGCCTTACTATCTTGATAGGTTTGGACATAATACTACTCCAGATCCTTTTCTTGATTGGAACTGGAGCTCGAAATTAGAAACCGAAAAACCTTTGACTTTTGAAGAAGAGATCAAGAAGCTGGAAAAGAAGCAAGCTAACAGTAACTGAGTGGAGTCTCAGTGGAGCCATTGTGTGTGAACTGTTGGTGTGAGATGAACTTCGGTCACACTGGCCGTTATCCATTCTAATAAATATTCTGTTGGCATCAATTTTAACACATGCTTTTTGGGGTATATCGCCATGTAAAATATTCCTGATATTTAGAAGTACAGGAGATTTTTTTAGTGTATTTTTTGTCATGGACGATCTTCATATGTCTGTGCTGTTCAAAGCAGGATTAAGCCATATCACTGTCTCGAACTTGTACACATGTAAGGGCCGTGGGTAAGGTGTTTGCTTGTATAATCATATACTAGTAATCGGATTTTGTCCCAACAGAACTCACAAACCCATTGGTATCCCCTTTGATATGGCATAACATTCTGGACATTCATTCACCCTCATGGGTTTAAGGCTGTGACGAGTTAAAGATTCTCATAAGGATGTTTTATATCAGTAAAGTGCTACAGCTGTTTAATTGTCAGGTAATATTGTCTTTTGTAAGTTGGTGACCTGTTTTCCGGTAAGCATGCGATTAGCAAGAAAACGTCGGATGTTCTTAAAGTGTCCAAAACCAATAACATGATGATAGAACTATTCTAATCCTACTTGATATTTTATTCTTCACCACTTGTGATATACTTTAGAGGAGTATTGCTGAAATGATCATGAAAGGGGCAACTCACTCTGCTGTGGAAAGAATATGTTTAAATTGAAATGGCCCAGTGCAGTACTGATAAGCAATTGCCAGTTATATTGAAATATGAAATATTGCCCACTTGACATGCTTAACATTACTAATATTAACACCTGCACAAATATATTTGCTCAATCAATGTGCATTTATACAGTTTTTATGACAAAGATGAATGTTTTGAAACTTGAAAGTTCTTTCCCATGCCAACCTGTCCAACCATTGTTGCATTGTGTATGTTACAGTTGTTCTTTAAAGGCATTTAGAAGTTGGATGAGCATAATACATGACATGTTTTTATTCACCAGATGAAGGAGGAAGAATTAGCTCTGAGACATTGTATAAAGAATAAAAGAAGTTGTTATCCATAAAAATGTGTCATGTATTTATGTTACAGTCAGTGATTAAATTTAGTTTGTTTGCAAAATTACTGAAATATTATAAAACGGCTGAGTGAATTGGTCATTTTGCCAAATAACTGTAAATTTCAGTCATTTTACAAATTGGCTAAGTTTACTCTTTGACTGGGACATATACAATGTTTTCTACAGAAGGGCATTGATATTACACAGACAGATGTTGGCCAGTGCCAAACACAAGCATCCCACACTGATTCAAGAGTGCACTCTTCCACTTACAGGTATGATATATTTTGATATATTTTAACATATTTTGACAAATATTCATTATTTTTTTGTCCTCTAATCTGATGCTTCATATGGACAGCTAAAACATTTACTTGTTTTGGGGGCTGGGTGAAAAAGTAGTGAGTCGATGTTTGGGAGTTCATACACTGTCTAGCAATGGATTTGCACTGACCTGTCCATGAGCAAGGAAAATGTCTAAACATTTATACTCACAATTTAAAAATAACCACCAGATTTTTTCTGAATACCTTATTTAATCTATCAGGTCATGTCAAATTAACCATAGCAGGGGTGGAAATAACCCATTGCCCGACGCCCGAGTCCAGTATTTTTTTCTGTCGGGCCAGCAAATTTGTATATCACACTGTATCGGTTTCCAGTTGACTTTCCAATGTTAATTATGTTCTTTATGTAAAAAATCAAGAAAACAGCTGGTATAGTGGAAAAATTATCAGGGCAAGTGATTTTACATGTGCCACTGTACCGGAGTACACTAGCAATTTTAAAGTTATTTCCACCCCTGCATAGTAATATGAAAACAATTGGGTGTTCTTGAATATTTTTTTTAGTATAAAAATATGTTACTGTTTGATTTACTTTTTGAAATATTTATTGCAGTCTGACGGAAATGTTCAAGCAGTGCATAATCTAGCTAAGGTGTATGATTAGTGAATAGGATGATAGTATTGTTGATGATGAGTGGATGAGGAGTGGGCGATGTAGTTCCAACATGCTGCCAGGTTGATGGGTTCTGCCAGTTCTTTGAATGGTGTGACATGCTTCTGTCCGTTTCTTCCAAGCATTGTAGACTTAATTGTGTGACTAGTTTCAGCTGACTTGTATCCCAGAAGAGTGAGTGAGTGAGTGTCATTTTACGCCCAATTCAGCAATATTCCAGCTATATGGCAGCGATCTGTAAATAATCAAATCTGGACAAGATAATCCAGTGATCAACAGCATGGTTATGCTAAAAGAAGAAATGAGATGAGTAGAATGGAGAAATGTTTTCATCAAATGCTGTTATGTTTGAAATACCTATTTACCTTCCTTGTTTTTTGCTATTTGTCTTAAAGACTATCCCTGACAAGTGCTGAGTTTGAGGCGATTGAAGTCACAGATGGCTCGATTGTGTAAGTTGCCGTAGTTCAATGTGCAGTATTGAGTCATTTTGGCACATCAGAGACAGGTTGATTGAGGGTTCGAATCCTAGATCATTGAGATTATGTTTCTGGATTTGTCAGTACCGTATGAGTGCTGTGGGTTTCAGTTTCACCAAAGGTTGGAACATAGAAGACCGATATCACTTCGGCCTCTCCGACACTGAACTGATGTGCTGTGATATAACTGGAGTACTGTTAAAAGGGGCTCTAAACCGATCTAACTCATAGGTTGATTGCTGGATATCAGTAGCATTTTCATTTGTGTTTAATGTTATTTTCCTGTTTCTTTCTGTCCAGTTATTTGTCTTTGAAATGTACCATGTAAATTGGTTTATCCTGATCAGATGTTTGTATGTACCACAAGATGTTCACATGACACACAGATGCCTTTTTTGATAGATCTGAGCAAATACCCATTGGTCAATATGTGATTTGAGCCCTGTGATATCGGCCAAGTGATATGAATCCTGTGGTATAGGACCCCTTGACAAAAATCCTTTGGTGTGGCCTTCAATTTATAAACTTTGATTTGAGCTAAAGGGTATGGTCACTTGAAATATGCATTTAGAATTTAGCATTTAGCAAATGGCATTTAGAGCAAGTGGTACGATCCTTTACATGAGCCCTGCTGTAGTTCTTTGAAATATGTCAGTGTTACAGTCCTTTGATAGAAGGGGCGGTGGGGTAGCCTTGTGGTTAAAGTGTTCGCTCGTCATGCCGAAGGCCCGGGTTGGATTTCCCCACATGGGTACAATTTGTGAAGCCCATTTCTGGTGTCCCCTGCAGTGATATTGCTGGAATATTGTTAAAAGCGGCGTAAAACAATACTCAGTCAGTCAGTCAGTCCTGTGATAGAAGCCTATATATGGTCCTATGACATATCCTTTGATATAAATTGGTGGTATGGTCCTTTGACATAAACTAGTAGTATGGCCGTTTGGCTAAGCCAGTGGTATGGTCCTTTGACATAAGCTAATAGTATGGCCGTTTGGCTAAGCCAGTGGTATGGTCCTTTGACATAAGCGAATAGTATGGCCGTTTGGCTAAGCCAGTGGTATGGTCTTTTGACATACACTAGTAGTATGGCCGTTTGGTTAATCCAGTGTCATGGTCCTTTTCTAGTAGTATGGTACGTAAGCCAGTGGTGTGGATTTTTCACATATGCCAGTGGTATGGTCCTTTGATATAAGCCAGTGGTATGGACCTTTATTATTACTCCATGTTATGGTCCTTTGACATTGGTAAGGATCATTGATATAAGCCAGTGGTAAAGACTTTTATAGTTTGTAGCCTGACCATTTGGTCTTGTAAAATGACTTCCTCCATATGGCCTCCTTGATGCAAGCTGTAATGTACTGTCTGATGTCCTGGGATTGTGGTTGATGCGTCCCCATGCCCACTCATTCAGCCCAATTATGGGGCCACCAAATCAAGCCAGTATTACTTTTCAACATGACAGCTTGAAATCAGGTATTATATGAAACAGAGAATATTGACCTTGTGTGAATCATGTTTGTGTGAACCTGACCTGCAATATGGCTTACTGTGACATGTTTAACTGACATCTGACTGATGTTGTTACAATCAGGTACTAACAGTGGTGTGCTGGTGATCATATATTTTATACTTGTGTTAATATCAGATCAGAGTATGAAATAAGGCCTGTCCGACCACCTGAGACGGTCTAGATTTCTGACGGACGGTCTAAATTTACAGCTTGCCAGCCCAATGGTCTGGTAAAATTTTTAGATGCTCCATACATCAGAGTAAATTCACCATATTTGGTCTGGTTAAATCCATTTTGGGCTGGTAACATTTTGAAGTTACCAGCCCTGATGTCTGGCTGGATTTTTGGCTTATTTCATACACTGATCAGATGTGTGTATTTGAACATATTTTTGCTTTTCTCGGATATGTTTTGACAAACAAAGCATTCAATATTAATAACACTAGCAGGAAATGTAACAGATGGATGTGGTTTTATTGAGTGTCACTGTAAAAACAATGACAAGCATAGTTTCATTTGATACAGCGGGACAATAGATATGTAAAATATCACTGAAAGGAGTCTTTCCAATTGTTGGTAAAGGGATTACTGGGTGGTTAAAGTGTTAGCTTGTCATGTGAAAGGTCCAAATGCAAGTCACAACATTAGTGAAACATGTGAAGCCCATTTCTGGTGGCTAACTTGTAAATTTGCAAGAATATTGCTAAAGCCATTCCTTTGTGTTGAATGATGGATCATTGTTTATTGATTGAATTAAATTTGATAGAATTCACAAAATGTAAACTTCAGCAATAATTCATTTCTTTTATTTATTTTGATTAAGAATTTGTCATTTTGACCTGTTGGAGTAATTCAGCAATTTCTTTCACATGCTGACTATGCATTTTCGAATTTTTGAATTTTTTGAAGATTTTTTTTTTCCAGGTCATATTTTATGTTTAAAATTGTTGAATGATAATTCATTCCATCTGTTTATGGATTGGAAAGATCTGAGAGGTATTTAATGTATTATTCATGTATTATTGACATTAGTGTGCTTAATATTTAAGTAGCCTCTCTACCGCCATACTAAATCATTATTCACCCCTTCTTTTTCGACTAACCTTGACTTAATGTCAATATTTTGTGATGTTCTCCAAATGGGAGTAATGCATGTATATGTTTAAAGAAACTACTATTGTAACTGCCAAAAAGGGGAGAAATGCATTTATAGATGAAAATTTTATTTAGAATAGAACAAACAGTGGACCATAAATGTTTTTAGAAGTATTTTTTAGAAGTATTATTTATCACCTTTATTTTTGTGTTATTTATTCAGTGTGAATATGGCCAAGTCATCATGACTCAGTTTATTTTTTGGAAAATTATTGCTAAAATATCCATGTAACCAGATTCTCAATAACGAACACACTGCTGCCAAAACCTAAGCTTACAAAGTATGTTTTTTTAAATATATTTTTCTGGCTAATGATGAGTTTGGATGACATATATGAAACAGAAAACAAATAGTAACAATACTGACTGTCACTTTAGGCACAATAATAAATGTCCTGTTACTGCCGGGAGGAATAGAGACAAGGCTGTGATTGAGGTTAGTTGTTAGCTCTCTCCTCCTACTTTGGTAACAAGGTTACATGTTGTGTTAATACTGTGTTCGTTGGATAATAATGAATTCCTTATGTTGGATTTTTAAAATAAAGATTGTTAGTTAATTTGTCTGTGTTTTGTTGGATTTTATCTGGCATGTATTTACCACACACATGGTTTGTTTGTTTTGACAGAGAAGAACAGGTTTTGGAAAACATGATGGCGAAATCCTTAAAAATGGGTTTTGTTTTCAATTAGCAGTCACTTTCTGGTTATTCAAGCAATAGGTTTTAATCTATATAATTTTCTATTTTGATTTATCAGACTAGTGACTTGGTGTTATTTGTATGTTGTTGAATATTTTTTGTTCAAATGAAATTTATTTCAACGAAAATACTCATAATATCTTTAGTTTTCACCTGTTGACTTTTTAAATACTTTGGGTATCATGACATATTTAAGTGGAATGTTTAGAAAGAATTATAATATAACAAAACATTGGATTTGCATTCAAACTGGTGTAATAGTGATGATTTTGGGGGTGGGACTGTGGATGATGGTGATGATGGTGATGTAGGGGATGGGAGGGATGATGGTGATGTAGGGTGGGACTGTAGGGATGATGGTGATGTAGGGGTGGGACTGTAGGGATGATGGTGATGTAGGGGATGGGACTGTAGGGATGATGGTGATGTAGGGGATGGGACTGTAGGGATGGTGGTGATGTAGGAGGTGGGACTGTAGGGGATGATGATGTAGGGGGTGGGACTGTAGGGATGATGATGGTGATGTAGGGGGGGTGAGACTGTTGGGATGATGGTGATGTACTGGGGGTGGGAACTGTAGGGATGATGGTGATGTATGGTGCTGTAGGGGGGGTGGGACTGTAGGGATGACTGGTGGTGGTGATGTAGGGGGTGGGACTGTAGGGATGATGGTGGTGATGTAGGGGGTGGGACTGTAGGGATGATGGTGATGTAGGGGGTGGGACTGTAGGGATGATGGTGATGTAGGGGGTGGGACTGTAGGGATGATGGTGATGTAGGGGGTGGGACTGTAGGGATGATGGTGATGTAGGGGTGGAACTGTAGGGATGATGGTGATGTAGGGGTGGGACTGTAGGGGATGGTGGTGATGTAGGGGTGGGACTGTAGGGATGATGGTGAAGTAGGGGGGTGGACTGTAGGGATGATGGTGATGTAGGGGTGGGACTGTAGGGATGATGATGATGTAGGGGGTGGGACTGTAGGGGATGATGGTGATGTAGGGGTGGGACTGTAGGGGATGATGGTGATGTATGATATGAGGGGGTTGGGGTTTAGGGATGATGGCAGGAGGAAGCAGCATCAAACACGTACTGCAGTGCTTCATAATATAGATGGTTTTCGATTGACAAGATGCCCTACTCATCTGATTTTAAGGTGTCTGAACAGAAATAGGAAAGCTATTTTATGTCATCAATAAATATTTGAAACGAACTTCTAAAGCTCTTGGTGTGTCTCCTAACAGACTGGAAAAATGGAAAATGTCCTTTCCCGGGACTCCAGAATTTGGCCAAGCATATGGGGAACATATCAAAATCATGTAGGATTGGTAAATTACACAGATTTCAGAAAATACAGTCAGACGTGCAATTGTTAAACTGTATTCTGAAAATAGGATTGTCACTTAGACTCTTCTAGAAATACCCTGAAACTGAGCAAGGTTTAACTTCATCAGATACAAATAGACTAGAGGTAAACATACAACTCAGGTGTGCGAATGATCTGACAGCGTTCGTCTCCGAAATCGTTATCTTCGAAGAAGGCAGAAACGTGAAGAATGAGCCTGTTTCGATTGATGAGACGTTGGTAAACGATCCTCACACAGCCAGCATTCAGTGGGTACCCAGTGGGAATGAGAAATCTGGGATAAAGTTACCAAGGAGAAAAGGTAAAAGACATATCTTTATCCACGCTAATTGTGTTTTCTCCCATGCTGTGACTTCGTCCTTCGCACCAAGACTAAGGGCAGGAATTACCATGGAAAAGTGTTTTTTTGGTGGGTGAAAAATAGATTGGTCCCTACATTGCCTATCAAGTTCCTTATTATCATGGATAGAGGAGAGCAAGGTCCCGACGTCGAGAATTAAAAGAGTTATGGTGACGTTGCTGCAGCGGATGAACATGACCTTTTTTCCAGGACTACAAAACCACACCTCTATGAAATCATCAAATCTGACAAACAAAAGCCCCTGTATATGACTGACAATTTCAAAGGTCCAGCTCACGCCATCTTACGACTTTCCCCTTACCATGGCGATCTGAGCCCATACAGCTGATATGGGCACCGTCAAAGCTGACGTTGGACGACTGAATACGACTTTTATATTGCGGCATGTTGAAAAGCTAGTAAATGAATCTCTTGGTCGGGTAACAGTGGAGACATGGCAGCGTTGCGTCGACGAAATAGAGTCGAGATACTATCAACGTGGTTGACTTGAGCAAGCAACAGTCCCACCTATAGTTGTGACCATCACGGCGGGGGGACACCAGAAATGGGCTTCACACATTGAACCCGTGTGGGGAATCGAACCAGCGTCTTCAGCGTGACGAGCGAACGCTTTAACCGCTAGGCTACCTCACCGCCCCCATGCAATTTTGAAGAAGAGGACTGTGACATGAGCGACTCGGATTACGAATAAAATGTTTATGACACGACCCCCTCTTTTAATGGCATGACCTGTACTGTAGTACGTGCAGTACGTGTTTGTGCTGTTTCTCCTACGGTTTTGTCCCCCTCCGTAAAAGATGTCAACTTGTGTTCGGTCTAAAATCAATGAAACATCAGCTATTGTTTGGGTACAGGGTATTCATTGACATATACTAGACTGACTGAGTTTGGTTTTACGCTGCTTTTAGCAATATTCCAGCAACATCACGGCGGGGGACACCAGAAATGGGCTTCACACATTGTACCCATGTGGGGATTCGAACCCGGGTCTTCGGCGTGACGAGCCAACGCTTTAACCATTAGGCTACCCCACCGCCCACATATACTAGACTATTCCCGAGTTGTTTTGCAATTCATCGTTCTCATTTGGATACAAACGGACTATAATCACTTTTAATAGTAAAAAAATGTGGAGTTACGAAAACAAACTTTTTTGCCGTACTGAGAAATCTATATAATTCATGAGTAATATTGAAAAAATGATTATTACCACAATCGGAATCAATACAAGGCCCCGAGATCGATGCCTGAAATACCCTGCATATCAAGGGGAGATAATCCAAGGGCAACCACTTTAACAAGCTCTTGTCAGGGATGGTGTTTGCTTGGTACGCTGGAGCCATCTATAGATCAGGTAAGATGTTTCACCCAGCGTTTATTTCTTCAGAAATTGTGAAATCATTATAGACCTCTGTTTTCTCTTAAAATCACTGCAAATACATTCCATTGTGATTTTCTCAGCAATTCAACATTTCAACTGGTACACGTCAATGGTTATACGGGGTGGTAGAGTAGCCTTGTGGTTAAAGCGTTCGCCCGTCACACCGAATATCCGGGTTCGATTCCTCACAACGGTTTAATGCGTGAAGCCCATTTCTGGTGTCCCCCGCCGTGATATAGCTGGAATATTGCCAAAAGCGGCATAAAACTAAACTCATTCAATCACTTAGTGGTTAGACTAAAGTTTACTTTATTTGGATGAAGTGACTTGGTTTTAGCGCCGCTTAGGAAATTGTCCCAGTCGTGTCACGGCGTGTCGTCTTCACATGGAAGGAAATAATGCAGGCGTTTGACGTCTGGACTCAATGCTTTTTTGTTTATTTGTTGTTTAACGCCACACTCAGCAATATTCCAGTGATATGACGGCGGTTTGAAAATAATCCAGTCTGGACCAGACATCATGAGTGCCATTTTCCACAAATGGGAATCGATGATATGTTTCAGCCAGGTCAACGAGCTTGACCACCCGATCCTGTTAGTCCCCTCTTACGACAAGCATGGGTTGCTGAAGACCAATTCTAACCCGGATCTTCACAGGTACAAACCCTCAAGTACGGCCACACCTAGAAACATAAATCAGCGCCAGGCCTACCAGAGAAAACTTGCCCACTGTGCAGAAAAACGCAGAAAAGCCCACATTAATCGTGGAAATAGCAACATAAACATAATACGAGCGCGAACCTGGATTTAGACCCACGATTAAAGCTTCTTGCGGACCCAAGGGACGCAAATCTGCACAGCGTATTGCGGCGCCTCAGAAGATTGAGCCGTCCGTTCTCCCTTATTTGGCTATTAACACCTTACTACGATGTCTCCAACATCTTGTGGAGCGTTAAAGCCGAAGACCGGGTTCGATTCCTTACATGGGTGCAATGTGTGAAGCCCATTTCTGGTGTCCCCCGCCGTGATATTGCTGGAATATTGCTAAAAGCCACGTAAAACTAAACTCACTCACTCAAACCGACGGCTTTGTTAATCCACATGATTAGAATTCCTTGGTATATGATGTTTATGTTCAATCAGCCGTCAAAACATGACATGTTCTGATTTAATGAATGGCGAGTGTTAGCTGTAGAGCAGGACAAGATTACCCTATTCGCGAACACCCGGTGTCAACAGTGATTTTCACCGATCCATTCATAAAGTTTTCACAGCTACTTTTACCTTTACACAATACTTACTTTGTTTCTGAGGATAGTTAAGACCTTGTATTCTTTTGTTCTATATATGATTCTTTATGATGTTTCTATTCTTCCAACCGTATGTATATGATGTTTCTAATTGCCTCCAACGTCGGTATGAGATTTTCCTATTCAACCAACCGTTGGTGTATGGTGTTTTACGGGATCGGGTGGTAAGGCTCGCTGACTTGGTTGACACATGTCATTGGTTCCCAATTGCGCAGATCGATGCTCATGTTGTTGATCACTGGATTGCCTGGTCCAGACTGGATTATTTACAGACCGCTGCCATATAGCTGGAATATTGCTGAGTGCGGCGTAAAACTCACTCACTCACTCACTAGGGTGTTTTGTTTTATCTTGGATTTTCAGAAATCAAAATAAATTAAAAACGATTACTCATACAAAAAGTGCTTCTGAACGCAATATCAACATGCAAGGGATTTCGATGTAGGTAAACAAATGATCGGAAAACGTTACTATGTAAATTTGTAGAACAATGGTCTATGTTCGTTTTGACCTATCCCGAAAAAATGACATTAGGTGAAGGTGCAAGATATATGAATTTACTCAAGCAGGTCCAACCCTGTTGAAAGTCGAAGTCACCGAAGGCGCCAACAAATCGAGTTCTGTCACTTTGACGTCCCAGGAGCCTCTGAAGGTGAGGTGAGGTCAGGTGAGGTGAGGGTGAGGTGAGGTGAGGTGAGGTGAGGTGAGGTGAGGGTGAGGTGAGGTGAGGTGAGGTGAGGTGAGGAGGTGAGGTGAGGTGAGGTGAGGTGAGGGTGAGGTGAGGTGAGGTGAGGTGAGGTGAGGTGAGGGGTGAGGTGGAGGTGAGGTGAGGTGAGGTGAGGTGAGGGTGAGGTGAGGTGAGGTGAGGTGAGGTGAGGGTGAGGTGAGGTGAGGTGGAGGTGAGGTGAGGGTGAGGGTGAGGTGAGGTGAGGTGAGGTGAGGGTGAGGTGAAAGTGGGTTTAACGTCGTGCTTGAGAATATTTCGCTCATATGACGACGTGCATGCGTGTGTATGTATATGTGTGGCTGCTTGTACTAGCCCAGACTTAAGCTGGTTTTATAGTGCTAGCCCACTGAGATACCACGCCGCAGTGAAGCATGAATACCCCACTCAGACACATTATACTGACTCCGAGCCGACCAGTCCTTGTTGTACCCATTAATGCCGAGCGCCAGGCAGGGACCAACAAGTACCATATTTTAACGTCTTTTGGTATGACGCGGTCGGTGATCGAACCCGCGACCTTCTGCTCTCCGGGCGGACGCTCCAACCACTACACCACGGAGGCGGTATATACACATGTACACAAAAAACTTAATTAAGCACAACCTGTATAGTATTGTTGCAATGATAGGTTTTCAACACATACATAAAACTTATCGTGGTGACCACGATGGAAAAACATGAGTTTTTCTGACCCGTATGTTCCTTTGACTCATAATAAACGACAAAATGATTGGAATCCATTTTGATTTTATGATGATAATTGCTTATTTTAAAAACACACATAAGTTACATACAAAACCATGTCTTTTCAAGTATGGCCCTGGAATGTTTAATGTTGAATTTATTGGTGAATGTGAACATTCAAAGTGTCATTTTGCGTGTCTTACACAATTCAAAGTAAATACCAGAGTAACCTCCACGTGACTGTATGACAGCCAGCACTCTCCTCCTCATACCCCCTG